ACGAGCTGCCCTTCACTTGTGGTGACTGATCAGAAGGAAGGCAGGGAAGTAGCCCTAAGAGAGACTGTATGAGATAGTCCTAAGCTTGGGAGTTTATGTATAGTGACTAGTGGAGGCTTTAAGTTGTTCTCTGTGGTTTTGGGGTCTGGAAAGTGCTACTAGGAATTAGAGGAAGAACTTGGTCTAGGCTAGAGACAAAATGACAAAGGGGAGAAAGCACTCGTGCTCCCCTAAAGCCAGAATGGGGGTACTAGAAAGGAACATGAGCACAAGGCAGCTTTGCTCCTGGAGAGGCACCCTCTGATGACCACCAGGAGGTGGGGCATCAGTGTGGGCATGTCACAGGCAGACTGGAGAACAATGGAGAGAACCAGTCTTGAGCACAGTTGAGAGACAACCCTTCAGACAACTCATAGAATTACCCTGGGGACTGGAATTCTACAGTTAAGACTGTGCAGAACTTACAATGTGAATACTTAGAAACATGATCTTATTTTGGATCATAGCCTACTGAGATTAGGACATTTAGCTTACAATAAAGCTAGCAATTTAAAGAACATTATTTTAATGACCACGATTAAGTGTTCATTTATCCATTCATTTAATAAATATTGATTGAGTGCCTGCCACACACCCATCACTGGGCTGGGGATGGAGATCTATTGAGAAGCCCAACAGACATGGTTGTGTTCTCAGGAGCATATGATCTAGGGCAGGAGGTAGACAGTAAACCAGTTACACAAATATTTATGCATGTGTGATAAATGTCACAAAAGAGAAACACAGGGCGGAAGGCCCATGGGTGGATGGATGGATGAATGAACAGGCTTTCTGACTTTCCTGTAATCCTAAATTCATCCAAATGGTTATTGTTTCAGGGACATGTCTCATCCTAGCTGCTTGGCTGGGTAATTCCATTGAACACCCTTGATGAATCTCCTTCCCTTAGTCAGATCCTGCCTCTTCCACACCATCGCTATGCCTCATAACTGCAGTAATGAGGGAACTGTCACTTCTCAACCTCATTCACCAGACTGCTGACTCACAGGGAACTTTCTAAAAATGGGGAGATGACCAGCCTCCCAACAGCCTTCCATGAGAGCACAGTGGACTCCTAGGTTGTTTATAGACATACTTGATATGGTTTGGATGTTTGCCCCCTCCAAATCTCACGGTGAAATGTGATCCCCAGTGTTGGAGGTGGGGCCTAGTAGGAGGTGTCAGGGTCATCCCCTTGCCGCCACCCTCATGGTAATGAGTGAGTCCTTGCTCTGAGTTCATGTGAGACCTGGTTGTTTAAAAGACCCTGGCACCTCTCCCCACCCCCTCTTGCTCCTCCTCTCGCCATGTGACATGTTGGCTCCCCCATCACCTTCGACCATGATTGGAAGCTTCCTGCAGCCTCACTAGGAGCAAATGCCAGCACAATACTTCCTGTAAGTCCTGCAGAACTGTGAGCCAATTAAATCTCTTTTCTGTATAACTTACCCAACCTCAGGTATTTCTTTATAGCAGCACAGGAATGGCCTAATACAATACCCAAAGAAGCTGATTCTCTGGTGGTCTCACTCATTGGTGTAACAATAAAATGGTATTACTTTGCCCTGTAACTTTCCTGCCACAAAGAGTCTGCTCTGCAAGAACATCCCTATTGAAAGAAAGGGGATTCCAGTAATATTTCAACACAGTTCCATCACTGCTTGGTCACTTTCAATTATTAAAACAGTGTAATTCCAGTTCTTAAAGACCTATCTTTATTGTAGCTTTTCAAACTCATGTTTAATTGAAATCCCTCCCCACAGGCAGGCCAGACTTGGGACAGAGGGACTTGCCCACCCTCCCCAGATTCCCACTGCTGTGGTGCTGGGGCAGGCAGATGGAGAGAGTTGGCCTGGATGTCAACTGCCGAGCTGCCTCTGGTCAAGCTGCCAGCTCTATTCTGTTGGTTATCTCTATTTCTTTGTCTACCCCTGCCTGGACATTAGACCACTTAGTGTGTAAGTGATTCAAATGGGCTCTTGGGAACACATTAGTGGATTCTGAGGGAGAGGGGTCTGCAGAGCCTCCTTGCTGCACAGCTCCCCTGACATAAACCTGCTGGGTTTGTGCTTTCCGTACCTCCCCAGAGGAGACCTCAGGGACCCCTCTCCCAGCAGGCAACTCCTTTGGGGGGAGACCTATAAGGCAGACAGCTGCATCTCCTGGGCAGCTTGTGAGGATGCAGTGAGAAAGCAGCGGTCTACAAGCCAGTGAGAGAGCCCACACCAGACACAGGAGCTGCAAGTGACTCAATAGAGGACTTCCTGGTCTCCAGTGCTGTAAAAATAAGCATCTCTTGTTCAAGTCACCTTGTGTATGGCATTTTGTTAACAGCAGCCCAAACGGACTAAAACATTAGCAGGTCAAGAAATGAATGTCATCTTGGGCTGCACTGGCAGAGTTGCCAGATATGAGGGCCTTGTCTCCCTGCCCTTTGTACCAGCAGCACCATACATTTAACATCCCAGAGCAGACAAGGCACTGGAGAATCAGGTGGATGCTGCACCCATTCCCCTTGAGTGACTGTTGGTTTCAGGAAGGAGATGGATCTGGAAACAAATCCTCACACCATAGGGGGAAGGAGCAGCAACAGAGCAAGCAGCTCTCTTCAGAGAACCGGAAACAGGGGGCATGACATATGTCCTCACTTTGGAAGACAAATTAGATCAAAAGAACAATGTTAGGAGAAACTACATTAGTAATTCAAACAAGACTATAAATTGAGGTGTCTGATTTATTTTTACAGCTCTAGTGCCTACGAGCCCCTAAAATTCCCTGTCAGAGAGAATAGATACCTCTCCCCAAATAGTCTTGGGCAGTGGCCTTTATCTATTGAAGGACCTTGGAGTGGGATAAGAATTAGACCTTCTCAGAGTTAATTCTAATCTGGAATCAGAATTAGTTGATGAAAGTTATAGAAAAATATATTTGGGCTCAAAACAAATACTTTCTAATGATTATAACTATGTAGCCTGCTTTTTATATAGTTATAATCATTAGAAAGTATTTGTTATCTCTCTTTAGCTTCTGGCTGAAGGATGCTTCATTTGTCTTCTGGATGAGGATAGACCTGTCAGGAGAGCAGTAAGACACTAAACCATCACCTATGAGAGATGTGGAAGTGGGGGTTCCCCCTCATCCAGGCTCCAAGTCAACTTTCAAATTACTCAAAGGTTTCCTAATTCTGTTTTGAAGAGGGGACTGCTCATTTAGATTCCTCATTTCCAACATGCTTATTAAACAATAATCTCCGTAGAGCCCACAGGTCATCAGAACAAGAAAAGTCTGCCAAAGAGGACTGTTTATAAAAGGATCTCATGTGCCAAATCATCCATTTGTTGTTTGGACCTGCACTCAAAGGATTGGAATTCTTGCTCTGGGACTTGAGATGGAGTTAAGAGGGCTGCTGTCAAAAAATATAAAATTCTTGCTCTGGGACTCGTGATGGAGTTAAGAGGGCTGCTGTCAAAAAATATAAAATTAAAATTAAAAGCTTCTTATTTTTATGTGATTAATGATAAAGAGAGGCACTTTCTTTCCTCAAAAATTCTTACTTAACTTTCCATGTGGTTGCCATGGTGACCTAAGCGGGTGCCTGACTCCTGCTGGGAGAGCCCAGGCTCCCTGCTGCAGTGCAGTGAGGTTCCAGGCTTGGCTGACACTCTCAGCTTCTCTTCAGGGACCTGAGAGGCCTGTCTGCCAGCAGAGGCTGTGTCTTACTCTAGTCAAAACAATAAAAAGAGAGAATTCCAACCCTGGCCTTTTGTTTTTTAAATAACTTTTAAAATAGCTTTTTAGAAATGCTCCTTGACACATCATAAACACATACACAGGACAGTGCAAAAAAAGTACAGTCACCCTAAATTCCATTCAAAGAGGACCTCTGTTGGGATTTTGAACACACTTATTTATGTGTGTGTGCTCATACATACATTGCTTTCTATATAAAATGGGATCATACTGTATTTGATCTTTTGAAACTGTATTACTCAAAATTGCTATGGTCATTAATCTTTAGCAACAAACATAATAAAAACTAATATTCACTGAAAGTTAAAAAGAAGATACTGTATCATTTCATTTAATTCTAATACTCCAGTCAAGTAAGTTACTATCTGTTATTATTATGCCTATTTTACTGTTACTATCTCTGGTTTACAAATAGCAAAAGTGATACGCCAAAGGATTAATTCCCAAGATCGCACAGCTACTAAGTGGTAGAATCCACTGCATTCTGCTTCCAAAATTTATGTACATAATTGACACATGATACCATCTCTAAGCAATGCTACTGTTCTTCAAAGGCAGTATATTTTGTGGTGTAAATATACTATAATTTATTTACTCAGTCCCTTTTTGATGAGCAATTATATTGTTTGCAAAACTGTGCAACGACAATCAATATGCTCACAGACATGCCTGCATATACTTCCTCTCAACCTCGTGGGGTTATCTCCTTCCTTACCAGACACTCCCTATAGTGGAGTCATTAAGTCATATGGTTTTCACTGCCCTTTACAGAGGTTTACAATGGTTGTCTGACTTTACAGTGGGATGAAAGTGGCTCATCTCCCACGTCTTGGACAATACCAGATTCGTCACTGCTGATTTCAGTTGCAGTTTTTGCCACAATAAGGTTGCACAGCCCTTCCTTTTTATTGACATCTTGATTTTCTTTGAGTTACCTGTCTTGTCTTTTGCCTGCTTTTTATATTAGGGTGTTCATATTTTCCTGATTCACTTTTCATAGCTCCCTGCTATGTACATGCTAGTGTGCATAATTATGGGAAGTAAATTATCTCCTTCAGCACCTGCCCTAACCTCTTATCCCAGGAGAGGCAAAACCCACATTTTCCAGATTCCCTTGCAGCTAACATTTCAAATGTAATATCATTCCACCACTTGGACATGATGGCAGGAGCCTTGAGAGAGTCAGTTCACGAGGCACATATGTTACTCACTTTTGCTGCTGTGGAGTCAGAGGGCTTGGTGTGGCCCATGATCCAACAGTTCCAACCACAGCTTCCTGATCCTTGGCTTACAGCTGTGACAGCTTCCTGATCCTTGGCGTACAGCTGCGGCCCTGTGACCCAGTAACCACCAGAAGAGATCACAGCCTCCTCAGCAGCCTCCTCAGCAGCCTCCTGGGTGAACAAGAGCAGCAGTTGGCTTGGTAGCCCAGTTTGAAAATTTTCTCCTTTGGCCCTTACAACGATTTAAGAATCACCTAATTCTGTACATTAAATCCTTTCCTGCTTAAAGAACCAGAGTGGGTTCCATAATCTGTAACTGAACCCTGAACACTAAATGTTAAACCATGTTAAACACATCTTATGAATATTTTCCAAGTTTGTCATTTACCTATCAATACTGTTTTTGCTGTCTCTCTGCCATTTAAAATATAGTTTGTAGTCATAATTTGAAATTCTTTCTTTATGGTTCTTGGTTTATAGAATCCCTGAAAAAACCTGTAATTCCCAGGTTTACAAAAGCAATGTTTTCTCTTATTACTATTATTACTTACTACTTGTAATCTCCATGCATTGGAGAATAAGACAACTGCCATAATCAACAGTCCCACTTATTTTTATTTATTTATTTAAACTTTTAAGTTTAGAGTATATGTGCAGGTTTGTTATATTGGTAAACTCGTGTCATGGGGTTTGTGGTACAGATTATTTCATCACCCAGGTATTAAACCTAGTATCCATTTTTCCTCTTCCCTCCTGCTACTTTCAGGTAGCCCCCCGTGTCTATTGTTCCCCACTATGTGTCCATGCGTTCTTATCATTTACCTCCCAGTTATAAGTGAAAACATGGAGTATTTGCTTTTCTGTCCCTGCATTCAATCGCTAAGGATAATGGTCTCCAGTTCCATTCATGTTCCTGCAAAGAGCATGATATTGTTCTTTTTATGGCTGCTTAGTATTCTGTAGTGTATATGTACCATATATTTTTTTTAATCCAGTCTACCATTAATGAGCATTTAGGTTAATTCCATATCTTTGCTATTGTGAATATTGCTTTGTGAACAGCAAAGACATGGAATCATGTGCTGCAATAAACATATGTGTGTATGTGTCTTTATGATAGAATGATTTCTATTCCTTTGGGTAGGTTCCCAGGAACAGGATTCCTAGGTCAAATGGTAGTTCTGTTTTTAGCTCTTTGAGGAATTGCCACAAATGGCTGAACTACAGTGGCTGAACCAATTCATGCTCCCACCAACAGTGTATAAGTGTTCCCATTTCACCAACAATTCACTGTTCATCCATAGTGGCTGAACCAATTTATACTCCCACCAACAGTGCATAAGTGTTTCTGTTTTACCACAATCTCTCTAGCATCTGTTATTTTTTGACTTTTTAGTAATAGCCATTCTGACTAGTGTGAAATGGTATCTCTTTGTGATTTTGCTTTGCATTTCTCTAGTGATCAGTGATCAGAGCATTTTTTATACACTTGTTGGCTAAATGCATGTCTTTTGAAAAGTGTCTTTTCATGTCCTTCCTTCACTTTTTAATGGGATTGTTTGGTTGTTTTTCTTGTAAATTTGTTTAAGCTCCTTATAGATGTTAGATGTTAGACCTTTGTCAGATTCATACCTTGCAAAAATTTTCTTCCATCTCGTAGACTGTTCTGTCATGTTGATAGTTTCTTTTACTGTGCAGAAGTTCAGTAAAAAAACTATCACATTTATTAGATCCCAACTGTCAATTTTTGCTTTTGTTGCAATTCCTTGTGGCATCTTCATCATAAAATATTTTCCTATTCCTACTCTAGAATGGTATTGCCTTCCAGAGTTTGTCTTCTAGGGCTTTTATTGTTTTGAGTTTTACGTTTTAGTCTTTAATCCTTCTTGAGCTTATTTTTGTACATAGTGTTAAGGAGGAAGTTCAGTTTCAACCTTCTGTATATGGCCAGCCAGTTAACCCATCACCATTTATTGAATAGGGAGTTCTTACCTCATTGCTTATTTTTGTCAAGTTAGTCGAAGATCAGATGGTTGCAGGTGTACGGCCTTATTTCTGGGCTCTCTAGGCTGTTCCATTGGTCTGTGTGTGTGTTTTTGTACCAGTACCATGCATTTTGGTTATTGTAGCTCTGTAGTATAGTTAAAAGTTGGGTAGCATAAGCCTCCAGGTTTGTTCTTTTAGTTTAGAATTGCCTTCTCTATTCAGGCTCTTTTTTGGTTCCATATAAATTCTAAAATATTGTTTTCTAGTTCTGTGAAGAATATCAATGGCAGTTTGATAGGAGAAGCCTTGAATCTATAAATTGTTTTGGGCATTTTAATGATGTTGGTTCTTTCTATCTATGAGCCTAGAATGTTTTTCCATTTGTTTGTGTCATCTCTGATTTCTTTTAGCAATATTTTGTAGTTCTTATTGTAGACATATTTCACCTCCCTGGTTAGCTGTATTCCTAGGGATTTTATTATTTTTGTGCCAATTCTGAATGAGACTGCATTCCTGATTTTGCTCTTAGCTTAACTGTTTTTCATGTATTAAATGCTAGCAATTTTTGTATGTTGATTTTGTATCCTGAGACTTTGCTGAAGTTGTTTATCAGGTTAAGGAACTTTTGGGCCAAGACTATAAGGATTTTTAGATAGAATCGTTTTGTCTGCAAACAGGGACAGTTTGACTTCCTCTCCTTCTATTTGGATGTTCTTTATTTCTTTCTCTTGCCTGATTTCTCTGGCCAGGACTTCCAATACTATATTGAATAGGAGTGTTGAGAGAGGGCATCCTTGTCTTGTATCAGTTTTCAAGGGGGATGATTCCAGCTTTTGTCCATTTATTACAATATTAGCTGTAGGTTTTTAATAGATGGCTCTTACTATTTTGAGGACTGTTCCTTCAATATTTAGTTCATTGAAAGTTTTTAACATGAAGGGATGAGTTTTATCTAAAGCCTTTTCTGTGTCTACTGAGATAATCATGTGGTTTTTGCCTTTAGTTCTATTTATGTGATGAATCACATTTACTGATTTGCGTATGTTGAATCAAATTGCACCCTCGGCTAAAGCCTACTTGATCATGATGGATAACATTTTTTTTTGATGTGCTGCTGAATTTGGTTTGCCAGTATTTTGTTGAAGACTTTTGCATCAATGTTCATCAAGAATATTGGGCTGAAGTTTTCTTTCTTTGTTGTGTCTTTTCCAAGTTTTTGTATCAGGATGATGCTGGCTTAATAGAATGAGTTAGGAAGGAGTCCCTGCTCCTTAATTTTCTGGAATAGTTTCAATAGGAAGAGTACCAGCTCTTCTCTGTACATCTGGTAAAATTTAGCTTTGATCTATTTGGTCCTGGGCTATTTTTGGTTGGTAGGCTGTTTATTACTGATTTAATTTCTGAGCTTGTTACTGATCTGTTCAGGGATTCAACGTCTTCCTAGTTCAGTCTTGTGAGGATGTATGCATGCAGAAATGTATCCATTTCTTCTAGGTTTTCTGGTGTATGTGCATAGAGGTGTTCATAATATTCTGATGGTTATTTGTATTTCTTTGGGGTCAGCAGTAGTATCCTCTGTGTCATTTCCAATTGTGTTTATTTGGATTTTCTCCTTTTTATTCCTTATTAGTCTAGTTAGTGGTGTATTTTATTAATTTTTTAAACCAATTCCTTGAATTGTTGAGCTTTTAAATGATTTTTCATGTCTGTCTCCTTCAGTTTATCTCTGATTTCAGTTATTTGTTGAGTTCTGCTAGCTTTGGGGTTGGTTTCCTCTTGGTTGTCTAGTTCTTTTAGTTGTAATGTTAGGTTATTAAATTGAGATTTTGCTAACTTTTTGATGTAGGCATTTAGTGCTATAAATGACTCTCTTAACACTGCTTTAGGTGTGTCCCAGAGATTCTGATATGCTGTATCTTTGTTCTCATTAGTTTCAAAGACTTTCTTAATTTCTGCCTTAATTTCATTATTCACCCAAAAGTCATTCAAAATTAGGTTAATGTTTATGTAAGCACATAGTTTTGAGGGATTTTCTTAGTCTTGATAATCTAATTTTATTGTGCTTTGTTCTGAGAGAGTGGTTGATATGATGTCAGTTCTTTTGCAGCTGCTGAAAATTATTTTATGTCAGATTGTGTGGTAAATTTTAGAATATGTGCCATGTGACAATGAGAGAAATGTATATTCTCTTGTTTGGGCATAGAGGGTTCTATAAATGTCTATCAGGTCCATAATACAGTGCTGAGTTCACGTCCTAAATATCTTTGTTAATGCTCTGCCTTAATGATCTAATTCTGCCAGTGAAATGTTGAAGTCTCCCACTATTATTGTGTGGAAGTCTAAGTCTCTTTGAAGGTATCTAAGAACTTGCTTTATGAATCTGGGTGCTCTGGTGTTGAGTGCATATATATTTAAGATAGCTAGGTCTTCTTGTTGAATTGAACCCTTTACCATTATATAATGCCCTTCTTTGTCTTTGTTGATCTTTGTTGGTTTAAAGTCTGTTTTGTCTGAAATTGGGATTACAACTCCTGCTTTTTTCTGTTTTCTATTTTCTTGGTAGATCTTCCTCCATCCATTTATTTTGAACCTATGCATGTCATTAAATATGATGGGTCTCAGCATACCACTGAGTCTTGCTTTTTTAACCAGCTTGCCACTCTGTGCCTTTTAAGTGGGGTATTGAGCCCATTTACACTCAAAGTTTGAATTAGTATGTGTGGATTTGATCCTGTCATTGTGTTGATAGCTGGTTATTATCCTGGGTTGTTTGTGTGGTTGCTTTATTGTGCTACTGGTCTGTATACTCAAGTGTGTTTTTGTAGTGGCTGATAATGGTCTTTCCATATTTAGTGCTTCCATCAGGAGCTCTTATAAGGTAGGTCTGGTGGTAGTGGATTCCCTTAGCATTTGCTTGTATGAAAAGGATCTTATTTCACCTTTGCTTATGAGTCTTAGTCTTAGCTCTAATTTTGGTTGTTTGTTGTATTCTGCTAGCTTTGGGGTTGGAGTGGCTGGATATTAAATTATTGGTTGGAATTTCATTTATTTAAGAATATTGAATATTTGTCCCCAATCTTTTCCAGCTTGTATGATTTCTGCTGAGAGGTCCACTGTTAGACTAATGGGCTTCACCTTGTAGGTGACCTGACCTTTCTCTCAAGCTGCCTTTAATATTTTTCATTTTGACCTTGAATGATCTGGTGATTATGTGTCTTGAGGACGATCTTGTGGTGAAGTATCTTACTGGGGTTCTCTGCATTTTCTGAATTTGGATGTTCGCCTCTCTAGCCAGGTTGGGGAATTTTTCATGGATGAGATCCTAAAATATGTTTACCAAGTTTCTTCCATTCTCCCCATCTTTTTTGAGGACCACCAGTGAGTCATAATTTGGTGTCTTTACATCCATATTTCTCAGAGGTTTTGTTCTTTCTTTTTTGCTTTTTCCCTATTCTTGTCTAATTATCTTATTTCAGAAAGCCAGTATTTAAGTTCTGAGATTCTTTCCTCAACTTGGTCTATTCTGCTATTAATATTGTGATTGCATTATGAAATTCTTGTAGTGTGTTTTTCGGTTCCATCAGGTCATTACATCCTTTATTATATTGACTATTTTGTCTGTCAAACCCTGCATCATGTTATTGTGATTCTTAGCTTTGGTGGATTGGGTTTCAATGTATTCCTGTATCTCGATGCTCTTCATTCTTATCCATATTCTTAATTCTATTGCTGTCATTTCAGCCATCTCAGCCCAGTTCAGAAACCTTACTGGAGAACTAGTGCAGTCTTTATGAGGAAAGAAGACACTCTGGCTTTTTGAGTTGTCGGAGTCTTTGCACTGGTTCTTTCTCATCTTTGTGGGCTGTTGTTCCTTCTGCTTTTGAAATTGCTGTCCTTTCAATGGGTTTCTTATTTCTTTTATCCTATTTGATGACCTTGAGGGTTTGATTGTGGCATAGGTGGGTTCAGTCAACTGGCTTCATTTCTGGACTATTTTAGGAAGCCAAGGCTCAGCTCAGAACTCCTGTACTGCATGCTCTAACTCTGGGAAACCATTAAAGAGCTTCAACTTTGTTCTCTGACTCCTGGAGGTTAGGAACCCACTGCACTAGTGTGTGTTGGTGTGTAAGGGGAGTTGCTGAAATTCTACCTAATGGCTGGTCTCAGCACTCTGATGGGTGGTGTCAGCCAAAGCTTTTCCTAGAATGATAGGAGCCAGATACGTCCTCTTTGCATGTACACAGCCCAGCAGAGTACATGCTAATGGACTTTAATAGTGTGCTAGCAGGTGCCAGGGTACCAGCCTCCCTGCAGGAATTCATAGCTGTGATGGAGACAGCACGGCTCTGGGGCTGGGGTCCCTGCTGGTGACTGTGCACACAGTTGCACTGGTGATGGTGGTAGCACTGGGCTGGAGAGCCAGTGGGGCTCAGGACAGTGTGAACCCTGTGTGTTCACACAGGCGAAGGCGACTGCAGGAGAGGGTCTGCTGTTCTCCATGCCTAGTTTCACTCCTAGGACAGTGTTGGTGCAGGAGTGAGGTGCTGACAGAGGAGGAGCTGACAAGCTGTATGCCTGCCAAGGCTCAGACTACAGTGGTGGTACAGCTGGAGATGGGAGGCAGGGGCGATGGGGGAGCCGAGACACTCATGCCAGCAGCAGTGGCATGGCGGGGTGCACTCACACACATGCACTGGTGGGTAGTTAGGGAAGATAAAATCCACTGGGGCACATGAGTGCCAGCAAGGCAGTGTGGTGGGTGGCCGTGGCCCAGGTGAGCTGCAGTGGACAAGGGAGCAGGCGGGTTGATATGGGTCCACTGGGCTGCCCTGCTGGAGGTCTCCTGTGAAGGGCTGTCTGCCAGTGAAGGAGGTGGGATGCAGGCCCCTTTGGCATCTAAGGCTGCACTGCAAGCAGAGGCACACAGGCTGGGCCCCCAGGAGAGCACAGCAGGCCAAGGGTGATCAGGTTGGAGCACCCCCATCTGATGGGCAACACTGCCTTGCAGAGTTCAGGTCCAACAGTTCCCCTAAGATTAAAGTCAACTGTGGAAGCAAGTGGAGCCTAGGGGATGGGCATCAGCCATGCTCCACTACAGACACTCCCACACCAAACCCTCTGGGCTCTTCACCGGCTGAAGTGCTGCCCCCACCACTTCTCTGAGTAGCTCTTCCTCCCAACTCAGGTGTCTGTGGCAATCCAGACGTCTCATTTTAGGATTCCAGAGGCTTGTGGCAAGAGTAAGTTGCTCCTTGCCAGTTAAACTCACCCGTTCTGAGTCATGGGGCTGGAGCAAGTCCCTCCCCTTGTGCAACAGCCCCATGCAGGGTTCCCAGCTCCCTCCCACTTCAGCCAGTTTCTGTGTCTTCTCTGTATCCACTTTCAGTGCCTTCCCTCTGAACATGTTAGGATTGCACCAATCTTTCAGGTCCCTGGGTGGCAACTGTTCCACCTGGCTGCATCTAGCCAGCCATCTTGCCCCAAGAGCCTCCTGACTAATTTTAAGTGGCTTCTATATTCACTTAAGTATGGACTTTATGCTAGGGATTGGCGAACTTTTTCTGTAAAGGACCAGAGAGTAAATATTTTTGGTTTTGCCACCCATATGATCTCTGTCACATCTACATAGCTGTTGTAGTATGAGAGTCGCCATAGGTCATATGTAAATGTTGACTGTGGCTGTACCTCTCTGGGCTTTAGATTCTCCTCTGCTAGCCTTAGTTTATTGACACCTGTTCTATACTCACCATTTTCGGTTTCTTCCTGGGCCATTTCCATGCTCACTGCATTACCACAAATGTAAGTCCTTTCACATTATACTTCCGTATAGTTTTTCTGACTACTCTTTAATATCTATTCATCTAGAGGAATTTTGGAATCATTTTTGCAAGTTAAGAAAATCTTACTGGAATTACAATTGCAGTATAATTTAATTCATAAATAAAATTTAGAGAAAATGTCCTCCTTTCAAAATTATCATTGGATCTTCATTTATTCAAGTATCTTATCATCATTAATTTTCTTCCTAGAGGGGCAGTGTAGGCAGACTCAAATCGAAGCTCTGCTACTTCTGAGCAGTGTCAGTATGGGCAAGTTATTTGTCTGTGCTATTATTTTCTCATCAGTAAATGGGAATAATAGTATCTCTCTTGCAGTGTTTGGGGAGGATTAAATGATTTGCAAGGAACATAGAAAGCACTGTTCATTGGTGCTCTAAAATATGGTACATATGGTAGATAATAGTGGTTATTGCTGTATCCTCTTCTGTTTCTAACTAAAAAATGGTTCTAGTTCTTCACCATTAGACATAATGGAATAACTCATGAAAATTACTGAAATATAATGTGTTACTATTTTACTATTTATCTAGTGTATGTATTGACTTTAAGTGCATTTGCCACATCTGTTGTTATCAACACTTTTTTCCCTCCTTTACTGATCAACATAGAGAGTTCCACTAGCAGATTTCCACTATCGATCCATCTTTGATTTGCTAAAATGAACCTCACTTGGTTGTGGTGCTATACTTTTATTCATCGCTTGGTTGCTTTTGCTTGTACTTTATTTGGGATTTTTATATCAATATTCTCATAAAAGATTACATTGCATAGCTAATTGTTTTTAAGTGCCACTCTCATTTTCTATACTAATGTTATGCTGGCCACATAAAGATAATTCAGAAGGTTCACTTTCTCTGTTCTAAAATACTTTTAAACTGCCCAACAGCCATCTAATCCTTAATAATTTAAATTTATCCAACTGGAAACTGTTTATGCCTGATTTTTTTTTATGATAGCTGGCTCAATTTCTTCTGAAATAATTGGTCAGATTCATCTTTTCAGTTCTTTCTGAGACCTTTTTATTAAAGCCTTTTGAAAGAAAAGCATTCATTTAGCCTAATTTTTCTATTTCTTGACAGATTATCTGCATTTGGATCTACTGGTTACAGAAAAATTATAAAACTTTTCTAGTTCATACTTATTGCATTTTTACTATTTCTTTATTTATTTATTCATTGATTTTTAATTAAAAAGTTAAATAATTACTATATACATCTCACTCTGTGCTTGTCATAGAAACTACCTTGCCTGTCCTCCTGACTTTACACAGCCTTTAATGGTAATTAGAAATGCCATCCAGTAGAAGCAAAAGCCCTAATGCTGATGACACAAGATACAGAATGGGAGAAAAAGGCAGGTAAAAATAATGGTTTTGGGGCAGGGGCCTTGTTAGGCTGCAAGAATGGCTCTTAACTCTGACTACACATTAGAATCACCTGGGGTGCTTCTAAAATCAATATGAATGCCTTGACCCCTCACCAAAGCTATCAACTCAGACTCTTTAGCGGAACCCAGACATCAATATTTTAAGTCTCCTCAGATTATTCTAAGAAACATCCAGAGTTGAGAACAACCAGGTTCTGGCTATATGACAGGAGGGAAAAAAGCAAGGCCTTTGGTGAAATATGGCCACAACCAGCCCACATCCATTATTCAAAGACTAGCACCCTAAGCCATGCCGGACCCACAGGCCTGCGTTGGTGATTCTATTCCAGACACAGGACTCGGATCTTTATGTAGGCGTCTAAGATACAGGGTCACATCATCATCACCTCCTAAGACAGGTTTCCAGCATTAGAAATATCTTAGGAACAACAACAAGAAAAGCAAATAACAAAAGCATGTACACAGAAATAGACAAGTTTTCTTTCAGTAAATGTAGAAAAGCAATGTCAGGGCCCAGAAACCACAGTAAGAAAGTTCTTACAGCTCACTGCTCTCCTCTGTTCTACAGTCACCATTTCCTTTAAAAAAAAAAAAAAAAAAAAGCATAGAACCACAGAAGTAAATCCTGGGACCCCAGGAGTAAGATTAAATGTCTCTCATCCATGATCTATATTTGTTAACACTTCAGAACGGCATTTTCAAGTTTAATGCATGGCTCAAAAGAAAGTTTCTCAAACAAGATAGGGTGAAAACTTTATTGAATAACTTTTCTCCACTCAAACTTATCCCACTCCTCCCAAAATACCCAAGAATCCTTCACTAACCTAACAGGTCAGCTTTTTCCCATCTTTTTCTTCCATTTTTCTGTTAAGCTAATTAACTTACTTTGGTGCTGGATAACACATCAACTAGTCAGGCTTTTTAAATTCCTCATAATTAATCTAAGAGTAGTTTTGTTTCATATGATAATCAACCCCAAAACCTCCAGCTTCCCTAGTAATTTAGGGTGGAGTAAGAGAGACTAGCCCAAGTCCCAACACTCACTCTGTTTTTATCTATGGGCACGTTTTCAAATTTTAGTTTCAAATATTATCTTCCTCATGGGGTTGTTACAAGGATGAAATGAGATGACTCATGAAGAGTACTTGTACTTAACACCACATCTGCCACCTCATAAACCCTACATCTACTCAACCAACAGCTATTTATTTGTTGTATTACGTATTATGCATCAAGGGCTATGTTAGGCACTACAGATACAGTGGCGCGTGAAATCAAACTTGATCCCTGCTTTCATGGAGCTTATAAACTAATTCTCAATAAATTCCCACTGTTATTATTACAAGATGCTAATAATGGGAACAATCCATTCACTGCTAAAAAATAACATAGTTTCAGTGGTACGCCAAGAATGTGCAAACCTTCACTTGAGCATGCTGATTCCCAAATGGCAGGTATTCGTACAGTGAAGTTTCATGGGAAGAAACAATGCAGCACTGAAGGGCTGGATAACTTTCTTTGATTAAACTTGAAATAACAGAGCCTACGAGTGTGTAGATGCAGCCAAGATGACCATCTTTATGCTCTCAGGAAGTCTTTTCCACTTCAGCCACTTTACCTCTCTGGGCTTTAGCTTCTCTTCTGCAAAATGAAGTAGCTGTGCACAATTAGTTCTAAGATTTCTGCCAGCTGTAACACTTCTCAATAATTTAAATTGTGTGGTTTTTGTTTGTTCCCTAAAAGCAATGATAATTCAGGTCTGCCAGCTTTAGTATACAAATATTGACAACAACTAGGCAAAATGCTTGTCCACCAATTGAGATTTTAAATAACAGTAACAAAAAACAGCACCCTATGATGGAGGCTGCTAGCTGCCTATCCCATCTACCTTCCTCTTCCTCCTTAGTAACTGAACCGAAGTTTTATTTGAAGTGTTGATGTGCTCAGCTGGAAGGCCATATTTCTCAGCCTCCCATGTGACTTTCTGGCTAGAATTCTAATAAGTTCTGGTCAATGACATATAAATTGGTCTTTCCCAGCAAGTCTCCTTAAATGGGAAGGGTCAAATCCTTTTCCCCTAATGAGCAGCAATTTTAAAAATAAATATGTTGAAAGTAAAATGCTACTGAAACATGCAAAAGAAATTTTCAATAGTCAATATCTGTTTTAAAAACTTAGTTAAATATCACTATAATCCAGCAAGCCATAAGCATCTTCTTTAGACAACTAAATTAATAGATCTTTACACCTTTTACACTGCTAGGGAAAAAATGTCATCACAGTTAGATTAATTGTAAGTTTTTTATTTGCCATTCATTCAAAAAATATTTATGATCATTGAAGATTTCCCAAGCTTCTACCCTCTACAAAAACAGCCAAAAATTCCTGTGCTCTAAGATAGTTATATTTTTACTGGAAAATATAAGGCAGTGCTCCAAATAGATTTTACCTTTAAGAATTTCAAGATGCATCTGTAGTAGTCAGGGTTCACCAGAGAAAACAGAACCAAGAGGGTGTGTGTGTGTGTTTAGAGAGAAAGAGAGATTTACTTTAAGAAATTGGCTAAGAAATGTAAAGGCATAGTGATATGGTTTGGCTCTGTCCCCACCCAAATCTCATCTTGAACTGTAGCTCCCATAATTCCCACTTCGTGGGAGGGACCCAGTGGAAGGTAGTAGAATCATTGGGTGGATGTTTCCCATGCTGCTCTCATGACGGTGAATACGTCTCATCAGATCTAATGGTTTTATAAATGGGAGTTCCCCTGCACATGCTGTCTTGCCTGCCACCATGTCAGACATGACTTTGCTTCACCTTCGCCTTCCGCCATGATGGTGAGGCCTCCCCAGCCACATAGAACTGTGAGTCAATTAAACCTCTTTCCTTTGTAAATTACCCAGTCTCGGGTGTGTCTTTATTAGCAGCATGAAAACAGACTAACGCATGCAGCAAATCCAAAATCTACAGGGTAAGCCAGCAGGCTGGACACCAAGTTGCAGTCCAAGTCCAAAAACTATCTGCTTACAGAATTCCTTTTTCTATTATAGCCTCCAACTTATTGGATGAGGTCCACCCACAGTATGAAGGGTAATCTGGTTTACCCAAAGTCTACTGATTTAAATATTCATCTTAAAAAAACACCTTCACAGAAATATCTAAAATGAGATTTGTCCAAATATCTGAGTACTATGGTTTAGGCAAGTTGACACAAAAAATTAACCATCACATGATCTTAGTTTTATTTGCAAACCTTAATTATTTGCAAAGATAATCACAAACTAGGTAAGAGGAAAGACACTTCCGGAGAGTCTGTGGCCTGGACCTACAAGCGGGAAAGAAGACTGTCTCAGTCAGTTTTATGTTACTATACAGGAATATGCGAGGGTGGATAAAAATTTAGAAAGAAAAGAGATTTATTTGGTCCATGGTTCTGCAGGTTGTACAAGAAGCATGGCACAGTCATCTGCTCTGCTTCTCATAAGGGATTTCATGATGTGTCAAAACATGGTGGAGAAGGTTCAAGGGGAAGCAGGTACATGTGAAGAGAGACCAAACCTGACTTTATAAAACCCCAAATGAATCTATTTTCTGGGAACCATCCAGTCTCACACGAGCAAGAACTCACTCACACTACTGCAAGAACAGCACTAAGCCACTCCTGAGGGATCCCCTCCGTCATGAACCAAATACCTCCCATGAGGCCTCACCTCCCACCACCACCACACTGGGGGTCAAATGTCAACATGTGCTTTGGTGAAGACAAACAAATCATACCCAAACTATAGCAAGGGCTTCACCTGAGAAACTGACCTTCAACTCACTCAGTCTTGCAGTGAATTTTCAAATTATTCTGGGATTGTTACTAGTTCCACCTAAGGAGTAGTCAAGCATATAGCTAGTCTCAAGAGTCATTAGAAACAGGCAGGTGAGGAGAGACTCTTAGAGACCTCCCATATACAAAAATCCTGACCATATTCCCACCCCCATCAGATAGTATCATAAACAACTAAGAACCCTTGTGAGCCTTCGGGGCCAGAAACTGTGCAATGCTACCTAGCAGAATGCCACTGGGATCCCCACACTGAAGTGTCTTCTATACACCAGTAAGTTATTATTTACCTATATTAAATGAACTGGTATCCTCTCCCTGTATCTAGTCGGTTTTCTAATTGAGTGGTGGACAGCCCATTTATCAAATACAGTAGTAAATGCATTGTAATGAAATCAGAGATGCCAAAGCCTATGCTGATTTCCAAAGGACCAGGTACCACCTCACATATAAAATCTTTAACACAGTCTTAAATACTACTCATATTGTGTTAAATATATACCACACAATGCAAAATCATTACTTAGTGCAATCTGTTAAACAGATGCAGAAAGGAATAAACTGTCTCTTCAATATAATTTTCAAATCACTTAATCTTGTATTTCTCTCCCCCAGTGAATGTGAAAACTATAAATATCCTGGTGGAACAAAATCACTTTAAATATCTTGTCTAACAATCACTCACAATCCCTCAAAGTGTCTGCATTTTTCCTAGTTGACTAGCAATTATCAATTCTATGGTGCATCAAGTTCAGTTTTACTGGAGGAGGAAGGAAGAAGATGGAGGAGGAGACAGAGGAGGAGGAAGAGTGAGAGGACGAGTGGGAGGAAACATTTTAGAACAATTTCAAATTATGGGCTTAAATTAAACAGAAGAGATGTTTTCAGTACAATATGATCAAACTATAATACTTCTGACAAAGTAAACCAGGTTTTATTTCAAGTGAATGTAAAATACTAATAAAACACAAGAAAAATCAGTATGAGGAAGAAATCTACCTATGAGCAAAGACTGTAAAACACTATGATCTCTAAATCATGCCTTCACAATTTGGTGTGGTGTAAATCACATCACAATGCTTGGACCTTTGCCCCCCCGCAACCCCCATAGTTTAAAATACTACCAATAGACCTGTGAGAATAATAAAAGATGGTGCTTTTTAAGCAGGTCACATATGTAGAGGAATGGGATCTGCCATAAGGCACATGTATATGTATATGTATATGTATATGTATATGTATATGTATATGTATATGTATATGTATATGTATATGTATGTGTAAGTATATGTGTGTGTGTGTGTGTATATGTGTGTGTGTATATATATATATATAAAATGATCTTAAATCCATTTGCAAATTAATTTCATTTGATGAAGCCAGTTGGCCAGTGTGTAAACATACAAGGCACTGTCTGGTCATTTTTCAGTATGGAAAACAATAGGTGGCAAATCTCACGATTTAAGAAAGAAAAAAAAAAACCTCTTCTGGTAAGCAACTCTACCCTAGTTAAATATTAGAATTAAATTTAAAAAATGCAAATGTACAAATCAGCATTACAGAGTAAGAGCCGGAAGATGTCTCAGTGATTATCCAGCCTAACTTCGTTTTAGAGAAAGAGCAGCTTCAGTGATTCAACCAAAGTCAGATAAATAAGCAGCTGGTCTGGCATTCAATCTTAGTGTCAGATCTTAGGACTCAAGTTCAGTACTTTCCCATGGTTTTTTCCAGGTGCTGTTCTTGGTGTGTAAAGTAACTTTGGCCACTTACACAGTGGTTTCATTTAGAGGCTCTGATGGGTCTACTTGATTAATATACTTCATGGTTACTGGTAGCCATCTACCAGTACAGCCTGTCGAATCAAACCTGATCAAAAATCAAGTCTTTGATGACCACCTATTGACACATGTGCAGCAACACAGAGAATGTAGAAGTATGAAACTCTCTTTATATGCAAATAGTTCAAAGCTCCTTCGGAGTAAGCTACCAGCTGAAACGGCATCTAAATCGTGATGAAGAATAGGTGGTGCAAATCACAGATGCTCCTCAACTTACCATGGGACTATATCCAGATAAATCCATCATAAACTGAAATATCAAGTCGAAAATGCATTTAATACCCCTAACCTACTGAATGAACATCATAGCTTAGCCTAGCCTATCTTAAATGTGCTAAGAATAGTTATATTAGCCTGTAGTTGGGCAAAATCATTTCAAAAAGCACAGGCAACACAGTACACTATAGAGTATCTGTTGTTTACCCTCAGGATCACATGGCTGATAGGAGATACCGCTTGCTGTCACTGCCCAGTGTCCATATTGCACCACATATCATTAGCCCAGGATAGGTCAAAATTTGAAGTGTGGTTTCTATGAATGTGTATCAAGTTGAGGACTATCTGTCTTAGTGTCAAAATATTTCAGAAAAGGACACGGTCTCTACAAAAAAAATAAAAAATTAGCCAGGCATGGTAGCACATGCATGTAATTCCTAGCTACTCAAGAGGATGATGCACAATAACTGCTTGAGCCTAGGGGTTAGAGGCTGCAGTGAGCTATGACGGTGCCATTTCATTCCAGCCTAGGTGATAGAGTAAGGCCCTGTCTCTACCAAAAAAAAAGAAAGAAAGAAAGAAAAGAAAAGAAAATCAAAAAAGGCTCATGATGGCCAGATATTCAAGTAAATGGAGAGTTCCATTTCCAGCCTTGAGAGAAAAAAACTAAAACTGGACCCGTCTTCCCACTGCTGTAAACAACAGTTTCAGAGAGTAGACGGCAGGAAGCCCAGTACTGTGATCCCTGAAAACAGTGAAATAAATGAGGTAAATTTTATGATTCCCCCATTTCTGTCTGGAGCCACTTGCCAGATTCCAATGCAGGGAGGAGAAATATAGAGTATATGAGTCTTGTGGAGCTGTGGAGATACAGATCAGAGTTCAAGGAGGCTGCAGCACCTGAAATTTGCAGTGCACAGTATCTGAGAGAAGGGTGCTAGGCAGAAAAAGAGGTTCAGAAATCTCAGAGGGGGTCTATTTGTGTATTTAGCTTTAAACTAGGCTAAACATTAACAGTGTAAAAGTCCTTGGGCCAAAGAATAACCAGGGAAGTGTTAGCTGAACAACTGTCAAAATTATCACAGGGCTAGAAGATATTTAAGATGTGAACAAATACAGTAGACAGAACACATTCAACTCCCAGGGAATTCCACACCTTAATAACAGGGCTAGACTAGAGCTAGAATGCCCCAGGAGAATCAACCTCTCAGATTGAACCTGAACAGGGAAATAGAACACATACAATTGTCTTTGGAGATCTTAACTCTTCTCACTCAGTAATTAACAGTAAACATAGAAAGAAAATGAGTAAGTCATAGACATCAATATGATCAACTAACATGGCCTAATTAATATTTGTAAAACATTACAGCCAATCACTGCAGAAGGCAAATTATTTTTAAGGGTACACTGACTAAGATAAATTGGGTCATAAAACAAGTCTAAATACATTTAAGATAGTTGAAATAAAAAACGACATATTTTCTAATCACAACAGAATTAAGGTTAAATACCAATGACAAAAAGTTATCTGGAAAATCTTCAAATATTTAGAAATCAAACATCAAAATTCTACAATATTTAGCACAAAGGTCAAAAAATTATAAGATAACTTAGAAAACACCCTGAACTCAGTGAAAAAAACATGGATGTTAAAATATGTGAGATGCAACTAAATCGGTACTTAAATTTTAGTGCTAAATGCTTACATATTTAAAAAATGATGATCCAAAATAAAAGATCTAAGTTTGCATCTTAAGAATCTAGAATAAAAGTAAATTTAATACGAAAGCAGACAAAATAACAACGGTACAAGCAGCAATCAGACAAAAAAGGCAACAGAAAAAAAATCTAAGAAATTTAAAACTGGTTATTTGAAAGATAAATAAAATTGAAAAAATACTAATTAGACCAATAAAGATAAAAAGAAAGCACAAATTGGCCATATCAGGAATGTCTTATGGATATTAAAATAATGGAATATATTAAACAATGTTATGGCAATAAATTAGACAATTTAGACAAAGTTGACTAATTCCTTAAAAGACAAATTGTCAAAACTGACATAAGAAATGGAAAAATTGGCTGGGCATGACAGCTCATGCCTGTAATCCCAACACTTTGGGAGGCTGAGGCAGGCAGATCACGAGGTCAAGAGACAGAGACCATACTGGCCAACATGGTAAAACCCGTCTCTACTAATAATATAAAAATTACCTGGGCATGGTAAAGCGTGCTTGTAGTCCCAGCTACTCAGGAGGCTGATGGAGGAGAATCACTTGAACCCAAAAGAGGTTGCAGTGAGCCAAGATTGTGCCACTGCATTCGAACCTGGCGACAGGGCAAGACTCCATCTCAAAAAAAAAAAAAAAAAGAAAAAGAAGTAGAAAAATTAGAATAGCCATCTGTCTGTTAAAGCTTCTCAGCCCTGAACTTACTCTTGTTTGACCTGCTTTATGATACCGGAGCTGAGTTCTGCCAACATTTCTCCTGTGACAGATGGCATACTTAAGCTTTATCAGTGGAGGTTACTAAAGGGACACTGCAGGAAAAAGGAGCTTATCTTCTCTGACCCAGTGTGCTTTTCCTTCTTGCTTCTGCAGCATGTGGCTACTAGCAAGCAGCATTTGGGACACCCAGTGAAGCACCTCATCCAGTAGGAGCTGGAACAACCAGTGGCACTCTGCAGGGATTTTTACCAATAACCCTGCAGGTGGTTTCCCAGAAAGTTTCACCAGCATGTCAAAGGGTAGCTTCTTAATGAACAGAGATGGAGGGGCTCAGTGAGAGGACGGGGGTCAGTGGAGGATGAGGGGTCAGTGAGAGGATGGGGATTCAGTGGGGGATGGGAGCTCAGAGAGAGGATGGGGCTCAGTGGGGGATGGGGGTTCGGTGAGGGGATGGGGGCTCCATCTGACACATCCTCCAGAAGACAGTTTCCCACTTGCCAGCCCCAGCACACACCATCTCAGCAAATTCTAGGCCACTCCAGGGTCACAATATATCAACATTATATCATCTGCAGTGAGATCTGAGCCTCAGACATATAAGAAGGATCTCTTCTGAGTTTGTTCCCCCCATGAGTACTTTGCCCCAGCCTAGGAAGTGGCTGGTCTCTACATCTGCTCTTCCTATATTCTTTGGAGTTCTCTCTACCCCTTAGTCACTAATCTCATTACTAGTTAATAATTCTTTACATTAAATTGGTCCTGGCATGGTTTCTGTCTACAGACTGGACCTTGACTGATATAACTGATGAATTCTAAGATTTGAGAACCTCACAAACTTTCAGAAAACAAAGGAGGCAGCATTTCCAAATTGAATTTATGAGGTATCACCCTGTCACCAAAACCAGATAAAGACATCAGGAGAAAATAAAACTAGATAAATATTCCACAGGAACCACAGACACAAACACTTTTAGCCAAATATTGGCAGATTGAATTCACCAGTTTATAAACAGGGTAATATACCCCACTTGGTCATGACATATCTCAGGAATGCAAAGTTGCTTTAATATTTGAAAATCAAACAATGTGATATATCACATTAACAGAATAAAAAAGAATGACAGTATAACTATCTCATTAGATGTAGAAAAAGCATTCAAAAAATTCAGTACTCATTCATAAGCAAGCTGGAAATAGAAAAAAAAATTCTTTAAAGGGAGTCTAAAAAAGAAAAAAAAAAATAGAGAAAACTCTAGAACTACCTTCACACTTAATGGTGAAAGTGACTTTTCCTAACATAAGGAGCAAGGCGGATATATCTGCTCTTACCAATCCTTAACATTGTATCTGAAGTCCTGGTCAGTGCAAAAAGGCAACAAAAACATCAGAAATACAGCAGAAATATTGAAAAGGAAGAAGCAGAACTGTCTATATTCACAAATGACATAATTATATATGTAGAAAATTCTAAAGAATTTACCCCAAAAAAAGCTAAACTAATAAGTGAATTTAGCAAGGCAGCAGGACTGCAGGTCAATACACAAAAATTAACATTTCTATGTATGAGTAACAAATAATAAATACCATTTACAATAGCATGAAAAACCAAAATATTTAAGGATAAATTTAATTTAAAAATATGTTGAAGATTTGTATGCTGAAAACTACAGAAACTGCTGAGAGAAATTATAGACTTAATACATGAAAAGGTGTAACTGATCCTCAACAAATGCCAAAAAACAGAAATAACAGTCTTTCAGAGCACAGAGCAATCACATTAGAACTCAGGATTTAGAAACTCACTCAAAACCACACAATTATATGGAAACTGAACAACCTACTCCTGAATGACTCCTAGGCAAATAACGTTAATTAAGGCAGAAATCAATTTCTTTGAAACCAATGAGAACAAAGAGAACATACCAGAATCTCTGGGACACAGCTAAAGCAATATTAAGAGAAAAATTCATAGCACTAAATGCCCACATGGGAAAGCAGGAAAGTTCTCAAATCGACACCCTAACATCACAATTAAAAGAGCTAAAGGAGCAATAGCAAATGAATCCAAAATCTAGCAGGAGACAAAAAATAAGATCAGAGAATTGAAGGAGATAGAGATACCAAAAACACTCAAAAAAAAATCAATGAATCCAGGAGCTAGTTTTTCGAAAAAAGTAACAAAGTAGATAGACCACTAGCTAGACTATTAAAGAAAAGAAAGAAGAATCAAATAGACACAATAAAAAGTGATAAAGGAGATATCACCACTGACCCCACAGAAATACAAACTACCATTACAGAATACTATAAACATTTCCATGCAAATAAACTAGAAAATCTAGAATAGATGGATAAATTCCTGGACACATACACCCATCCAAGACTAAACTAGGAAGAAGTTGAATCCCTGAATAGACTAATAACAAGTTCTGAAATTGAGGCAGTAATTAATAGCCTACCAACCAAAAAAAGCCCAGGACCAAATTCTACCAAAGGTACAAAGAGGAGCTGGTACCATTCTTTCTGAAACTATTCCAAAAAATTGAAAAGGAAGGACTCTTCCCTAACTCTCTGTATGAAGCCAGCATCATCCTGATACCAAAACTGCTCAATGAAGTGCTGAAAAAACTGAATCCAGCAGCATATCAAAAAACTTATTCACCATGATCAAGTCTGCTTCATCCCTGGGAAGTGAGGCTGGTTCAACATATGCAAATCAATAAACATAATCCATTGCATAAACAAAACTAAAGACAGAAACTACATGATTATCTCAATAGATTCAGAAAAGGCCTTTGATAAAATTCAACATCCCTTCATGTTAAAAACTCTCAATAAACTAGGCATTGATGGAACATATCTCAAAATAAGTAGAGCTATTTATGAAAAACCCACACCCAATATCATGTTGAATGGGAAAAAGCTGGAAGCATTCCCTTTGAAAACCGGCACAAGGCAAGGATACCTTCTCTCAGCACTCCCATTCAACATACTATTGGAAGTTCTGGCCAAGGCAATCAGGCAAGAAAAATAAATAAAGGGTATTCAAATAGGAGGATAGGAAGTCAAATTGTCTCTGTTTGCAGATGACATGATTCTATATTTAGAAAACCCCATCATCTTAGCCCAAAAATTCCTTAAGCTGATAAGCAATTTCAGCAAAGTCTCAGGATACAAAATCAAGGTGCAAAAATCATAAGCATTGCTTTACACCAACAATAAACAAGCAAAGAACCAAATCATGAATGAACTCCCATTCACAATCACTACACAGAGAATAAAATACCTATGAATACAGCTAACGGGATGTGAAAGACCTCTTCAAGGACAACTACAAACCACTGTTCAAGAAAATAAGCAAGGACACAAACAAACCAGAAAAACATTCCATCCTCGTGAGTAGGAAGAATCAACATTGGCAAAATGGCCATAATGCACAAAGTAGTTTATAGATTCAATGCTATTCCCATCAAACTACCATTGGCATCCTTCACAGAATTGGAAAACAACTGCTTTAAATTTCATATGAAATCAAAGAAGACCCCATATGGCCAAGACAATCCTAAGCAGAAAAAACAAAGCTGAAGGCATCATGCGACCTGACTTCAAACTATACTACAAGGCTACAGTAACCAAAACATCATGGTACTGGTACCAAAATAGACATATAGATCAATGGAACAGAACAGACACCTCAGATCTCTAGAGGTCTACAGATCTACAGAGACCACACATCTACAACCATCTCATCTTTGACAAACCTGACAAAAACAAGCTGTAGGGAAAAGATCTCTCCTATTCAATCAATGGTACTGGGAAAACTGGCTAGCCACGCTCGGAAAACTGAAACTGGACCCATTCCTTATACCTTGTACAAAAATTAACTCAAAATGGATTAAAGACTTAAATATAAAACCCAAAACCATAAAAATCATAGAAGAAAAACTAGGCAATACCATTGTGGACCTAGGCATTGGCAAAGACTTCATGACCAAAACTCCAAAAGCAATTGCAACAGAAGCCAAAATTGACAAATTGAATCTAAAGATCTTTTGCACAGCAAAAGAAACTATCATCACAGTGAACAGGTAACCTACAGAATGGGAGAACATTTTTGCAGTCTATACATCTGACAAAGGACTAATATCTGGAATTTATTTACAAGGAACTTAAACAAATTTACAGAAAGAAACAACTTCATCAAAAAAATGGGCAAAGGATGTGAACAGACACTTCTCAAAGGAAGACATTTACACAGCCAATAAACATATGAAAAAAGCTCAACATCACTGATCATTAAAGAAATGCAAATCTCATGCCAGTCAGAATGGCGATTATTAAAATGTCAAGACATAACAGATGTAGGCAAGGCTGTGGAGAAATAGGAATGCTTTTACACTGTTGGTGGAAATGTAAATTAGTTCAACCATTATGGAAGACAGTGTGGCAATTCCTAAAGGATCTAGAACCAGAAATACCATTTGACCCAGCAATCCCATTACTGGGTATATACCCAAAGGAATATAAATCTTTATACTATAAAGACACATACAAACATATATTTATTGCAGCACCATTTAAAATAGCAAAGTTATGGAACCAACCCAAATGTCCATCAACGACGGACTGGATAAAGAAAACATGATACATATACACCATGGAATACTATGCAACCATAAAAAGGAATGAGATCATGTCCTTTGCAGGGACATGGATGAAGCTGGAACCCGTCATCCTCAGCAAACTAACACAGGAAGATAAAACCAAACATTGCATATTCTCATAAGGGAGCTGAACAATCAGAACACATGGACACAGAAAGAGGAACAACACATATTAGGGACTGTAGGGGGTTGGGGAGAAAAGGGAGGGAACTTAGAGGACAGGTCAATAGGTGCAGCAAACCACCATGGCACATGTATACCTATGGAACAAACCTGCACCTTCTGTACATGTATTCTGAACTTAAAGTAAAATTTTTTTTAAAAGGTATAACTTTTAAAAAGTATTTGAAGGGTCCATATTAGTCAGATATCAGTTCTTCCCAGATGTATCTATAATTTAACAATGAAAATTCCATCAGGCTCTTTGCAGAAATAGAGATAATAATTTTCAAAACATTTTTTTAAAACATGTATCTGGAGTATGTAAAGAGCTCTTACGACTCAATGGAAAAGACAACAGAATTTTTTAGATGAGCAAAAGATGTGAGTAGATATTGCATAAAACTAACTATATAAATGTCCAGTAAGTCCATGGCAAGATGTCTGCTCAAGAGCTTTAGTCATCAGAGAAATGTATATACTATACACCCACAATTAAGCGTTAAAATCAAAAAGAATGACAACATGAAGCACTGACAAGAATGCAGAGTAACTTGAACTCTTAAACATTGTTGACAGAAGTGTAAAACCATACATTTTGGAAAACAGTTTGGTAGTTTCTTATAAACATAATTAACATAAGACCCAAAATTTCACTCCTCAGTATTCATCCAGAAGAAATACAAATATATTTCACACAAAGATTGAAAATTTAGACAGTTTTATTTGTAATAGTGGAAACTTGGGAGAGGAAACATTGTGGTATATTCATACAGTGGAAAACTCTTTCGAAATAAGAAGGAACAAATCACTGACACACACAACATGGACAAATCTCAAAAGCATTATGCTGAAGGAAAGAAACCATTCACAAGAATACACAGCATTCGATGCCACTTTCATGATGTTCTGGAACAAAGAAAACTAACCTATAGTGATAGAATTTCTAACAATGGCTGCTTGTGATTGGGAGTGAAAGGAACTGATGGAAAAGGTATACAAGAGAACTTTCTGAGGTGATGGAAATATTCTGAAGCTTGATTGGAATATTGGTTATGTGGGTATATCTATCAAAACTCACTGAATTGTATACTTAAAGTAGGAACATTTTATTGTAAATAAATTATGCCTCTATAATGTTAGTAAAAAAATTGTTAGATGCATTAGCTGGAAATAACTTAGACTTGGTTTTAACTAAAAAATTTTCTCTGTAATCTTATTTATTCTAGTAATTAGCTTCTTGTCTTCAAAGCAATGCAATACTTCATTGTACCTAAGCCTATGTTAGACTCTTAAGTAGAATTCGTTCAATGAGTAATTCTTATAAATAACTCTAGATTTACTTTACCCATATGAATAATTTATTTGCTATTTAAAGCCATATTAGTGTGTAGTAAAACTCATACTACATGATAAACATGCTCACATATATTTAAATATAAACATGTTTGGACTTTAAACAGTAACTACATTTTAGGAGATGATCTAATTCTGTGAGTTTGCAAATGGCTAAGTACTCCTCTCCTTCCACACATAAGTAAAAAAAAACCATTCATCAGCTGTCTGAGTCTGTTACCAGTGCCACATGTGAGGACAGACTATAGCACAATGAGATGAGGCAGAGGAAGTGGCTCCAACAGCTTCGGGTAGATCAGGTTTTCTTCCTTCTTCCAGCCACCTCAGAAAACATTCACAGAGTTATAATGGTTACAAGACCAAAACTTGGAATCAAAAAGAATTAGATAATGCAAATAACCCAATTAATCTGCTAATCTTTATTACTGCAGAAATAGTGTTAGAAGTAGTTTACCAATGAGGCATTTTTTAAATATCCCACTCATCCTATCCTGCATTTCAAAAATATCATCTTAAAAGGGAAAATAAAAAAGTATTTTTAAAGCATTTATTTTAAAAAATAAAAATACTTTTTAAAGCATAAAGCATAACAGGTTGAAGTGGTTTTCATAAAGCTGCTTCCAGTGTTCTTCAGCTTTCTATTATGGCAGCATCATCTTGTGATGAAGACATTAGCTCACTTGGACACATGGTCAGTATCCATAAATACACCTCGGTGATGATCAAGTTGCTGCCATCTGCATGATCATTTGCAAATAAGATGAAGACAGCAACCTGAGTGTTAGCAGCAAGGCTTCAAGGTCTATACTACTCAAGCAACTCCCAAGGATAGAACCAATGTTGGGGAACACACCAGGTAATGTTAAAGATTCACCAGTTTTCCCCTTGGAATTAATTCTAGTAAAATCTTCCACAGGATAAATTAAAAATACATTTCTCTCCCCATTTACTCTTCTTATTTTTAGCCTCGAAAGGCTCACAAACTGTTCCATTGAAACAAGAATTGGCTCTGAACCCAAACCAAAAAGAAGAAAAGAAAATCCAGAATATTCTATGATGCCCTGTAAGTATTAGCTTGTGGCTTCCACATAAAAGTTGTCAAACTGTGCAAATTCAAAGGAGTGAGTTCCAATTGCGGCCCAGCCATTCTTTGGAAAATTCACAGGGATGTCTGTCCACAGAGACTTGTCATTCAGCATGCCAGAGGCGAAACCACCCTAGAGTAGAGAGAAACACATTCCCTGAAACCATATGAAAACAGTCCTCTGAAGTCTGTTTCTTGATAATGTATGGCCCACTACTTAGTGGAGCAAATGTACTTCTCACTCAAGACTTACCACAGCAAAACACAATTTCACAAGTTTGAGCAAAAGTTTAAAATACAAAATAAAATTCTGGGAAGAAATTCTTACCTACCTACTTAAATCGTTCCCAATGTACAAGGAATACCTCAATATTTACTGTGCTCCACAAAAATGTAAAACCAACAAAATTGCAAAACTTTTCATGATTATAAAGTTTTAGACAAAAACTCATTAAAATAAAAAAATGTTATTTATAAGCAGTCATATGTACATGTATTGTGGCTAACAGCCACCAGCTCTCCAGATCTGACTGCGCTGGTGCCAAAACATCTGCTTCTACCACACTGCCTATTTAAGGTTTTCATTAAGGAGCCTCTGCCCAGAGAGAAGAAAAATAATTAACCTTAGTTTTTGTGTTTTATTCCCATGAACAGAATATCACTTCGAAGCCATAAAAAGCTCCTACCCTTAAGCAGGAAAAACAGTAACTACCAGTTAAAGTGATGATGGGGCAGGGTATGGTGGGTGGAAGAAGGGAGGGATCTATAAGGTGCAGCTTACTGGTCACTGACAGGGAAAGAAAAAATTACACCTTCCTCAGAAGGTTGCCATTCTATTTAACTCAGTGCCTGGCACATGGTAAACAACAAACCTCAGCTCTTATTATCTTTATGATAGCACGTTTATGAGCATATATTCACAGCATACTAACTGCAGCCAATCATTTAAAACTAGCTACTCTCAAAAGACAAAGAGCTCAAAGTTCAAAGCACTGGGCCAAGAACCAGAATAAATCTGCTTTAAGTCTTAGAAGTATAATAATAATGGGCCTTAATTTAGGTCTTTTATTTTATGCATGGAAACACTGAGGCTTAATAAATTTAAACTCTGCTTTATTAGGCAAAAAAAAAAAAAAAGAAAAAGAAAAAAAGGAATAAATTAAAACTCAGTCACAGATTTTTATTCCAAATCACCTAGCTCCAAACTGAGAACCACATTCCTATGACTACAGACCTGCACAGCTCTCGAAGTACTTACTGAACATCTTCTGCTGCCATGAAACATTCAATACTAATATCGAGCCAAGGGACTCACAACACAAAGCCTATTAAGCACAAAACCTGTCTAACAGGACCTCATCTCTCCTCGTTCCCCAGACTTCAGCCACCCCAGCCTCCAGGCTGCTCTTTACACAATGTCAGCCACACCTGTCTTTTGTACCAGCTGGTGGTCTGCTCAGATTGTTCTTCCCATCATTCCCATCTGCACTTAAGTACCACCTACTCAGTGAGGTCTTTCCTCACCTCCCTGGTTACAGAATAAGGGTAACAGAGCTACTTTATTTCATGACTGTTTTTTCTTCATAATCATGTATATACTTATTTACAAGTTAACTGTCTCAGGATAGGCCTCAGCAAACTATGACCTACAGGCCAGCCAACCTTTTTTTGTAAATGAAATCTTATTGAAACATAGCCACATCCATTCAACTACCTGTTGTCTATGGCTTTTTTCTCACTACAACAGCAGAACTGGGTAGTAGCAGCAGAGATCACATGGCCCACAATATTCTCTATCTGGCCCTTTGCAGAAAAAGTTGCCAACCCCTGTCCTAGAAGAATATATGCTCCAAGAGAGCAGGAATCTTGTCTGTCTTGTTCACTGCTGTATCCCTAGGACTTAGTAAAGTGCATACAGTAGGGGCTTAATAAAAATGTGTCGAATAAAAGAATGAAACATATTTAACCATCAAAATAACCTCACAGAAGTTATCCCCATTTTATAAATAAGGAAACGGATACTCAAAGAGGAGAAATAACTTGCTAGAAGTCTCAGCATGTGTTAGTAAGGAAATATGAATGTTTGTCTGTCTGGTTTCAAACACTCCTACTCCTAAGAATATTAACTTAATTCATTAAGTGCTTACCACATATCTGGCACCAAAATTTCATATATATTTTCTCATTGAATATTTGTAAGAAAAGTTTTCTTCATGATATTATGGAGGGGAAAATTGAAGCTGTGCAACATAAAATATAGTAGACTTCAAAGTCCATTGTGCTACCCACCACGCGACAGAGCTGGGGACAAGTCACCTGACATGTGCTGAGAAGAATTCAACAGGTGGCTGATGGTCAATGACAAAATCCTCACATTAGCTATAATTTGGAATATGGACAACATGGAAGATATTTTGTTTTTTTCATTTACGCGTAAAAGATTTATATGTCAAATACTGTTTAATGCACTTGGAATTTAAGATGAGCAAGAAAGACAAGGTCCTTGCTCTTATGGAGCGTATCTTCTAATAGAAGGAGATGGACAGACACACACGCACAGTGAGAGCTAAAGGATAGTGGCATGCAAAAATTAAAGCAGGTCAAGGTGACAATGGATGCCTGACAGACTACTTTAGCGCAGACAGTTGGAGAAGACCCTCAGAGTATGTGGCAAAAAGTTGAGATTCAATTAAGCAGCAGAATGCTTATAGTTGATGAAACACAAAATAATAGAAGTAGGGGAGTAGAGTGGGTACAAGCCAGCAAAGTCCTATCCATCCCTGTGGCAACACAAGAGCTAATTTCTAAAAGTAATGAATCAAATTATATTAAAGACACACCAGAAGAAACAGCTAAAGTAGTGAAGAGTGGCTGTATCAGAAGTACAGAACACAGACTGGGGTCAAGAAGAAGGAACAGGAGGTGAGGCAGGAGGCAGCTGTTTTCAGTAAGTCCTGTTGATATTTTAACCAAGTATGCAAAGTACCTAAAGAAAATTTAAAAATTTTTTTAAATCTCATTAATTATTTCAAAAAAACTCTGAAAATTACTAAAACAAACCTAATCAAAAGTGTGCAAAAATAAAACTGAAGGACATAGTGGCAAATCTTAATAAACGGTGAAATATAGCATGCTTTTGTTCCCATGTTTGCTCATGGACACATTATTGCAAAAAAAAAAAAAGTTATTTTTCCCAAATTGACGTATAAATTCAATTTAATACCAGCAGCACTTTCAAGTAATGGAAAGTTTTTTTAAAAAGTCCAATTGAACAATGTATATAGTGGAATAGCAAAGATAATTTTGAAAAAGAAACAATGAGGAAGTTGCCCCACCAGATACCACTCATTCATTTATCAACCATTATTTGGGCTCTTGCTCTGCCTGGCTATAAGGCACTTTTCTAGGTGCTACAGAGCCAGCAGTGAGGAATATGGAGAAAGGCCTGTCACGAAAGGAGCTATGTGCTAGTGAAGGGAATAGGATAAACACATAAGCGATCAATAGAATATGTGTGACATCAGCTTGGGATAAAAGCTTTGGAGAAAAATAAAGCAACAGAAAACAGACAGAGGTGAGATGGGGCATTGTTTTTGATCAAGTGGTCAGGTAAGAAAACTCTGAAGGAGGCAAGGGAGTAACCACATCATCAAAGCTTTTAGAATGTGAACACAATTAAAAGTGTGATTTTGGATAATAAGAGTCAAATAGCAATGTGGAGAATAGAGAAAAGTTCAGAAACAAGCATATGTACCATGTGCTAATTGTTACCTTTAAATTATGGGCAAAAGGATAGTCTATTATAATAAACGATGGCTATCCATTTTTCAAAAAATTCTATTCAATACTTCCCCTTACAATTCACAAATAAATTCTTGATGTATTAAAGACTTACACATAAAAATAAATCCTAAACTTTGTTTAGTTTTGGGGAAAAAACATGTTCCTAACCTTGAGAAGCAAGAAGGCCTTATTTAAAACATGAAACGCAAAATCAATGAATAAAAGATGAAATATTTGACAGTATCAAAATGTAAAACTTATAATCATCAAAAATATCATAAGCAAAATTAAAGTACACATGATGGAAGTGCACAGTTGTCACATATGCAACAGACAAAAGGTTACTATATAGAATACATATAAAGTTCACATAAATTCATCAGAAAAAGACAAAGAAGTGAAAAGGCAACTTCAGAGAAGAGAAAATACAAATAACCAATAACATTAGATGTGCAAGTTCCCTAATTATCAAGGAAATACAAATCATACCTACGAGTTTGGAAAAAAATCTTTGAATTCAATAAAAGTGAATATTATTATAATTGCTATAAAATGGCTACAGTTTGGCTAGCGTGGTATGGTTAAATAATCTATGCTACATCCAAATCAAATCTTCAATATACATACTGTAAATGCTAAAAAAAAAAAAAATAGTACTGTCATTTTTAGTGGTTGATTGAGAGGAGAGAACAAATTCCAAAGTTATTGGAATCTGATTTTTAATTTCTATTGCAGCCTAAACAAAATTGTGAGAGAGCTATCTGGGGAGAGAACAGCACATCATATGTAAAAATTTTCCCTGAATAGCATCCCTTGGAAGCACTGTCAAGTAGTAACTCATGATCACCCAGTGATTTTGAGGAATATTTTATATTATACTAAAATTAATCTGGTATTTTCTTGGACAAAAATATTCATGCAAACCAATTTCTAAAAAACTATGCTTATAATTGAAAACCAAATTATTCTTAACCACAAAAATAAATGTATATGACTTTGCTTACAACTACAAGCTCTATGTACAGTCTTAGTTCAAGCAAACTTGAAAAAATAGTTCAATTATTGACTTTATCAATTATGCCTCAGTTTAAAAAACAAAAACAAATAAAGTCAACTGCTGATGGTTCTCACGTAGGTTACCTTTACCCTCACACACATAACCATCCTAGGGATGAGTAGTTTCCTGGCACCAAGGCAGATTCCTTATCTCTCTTCATTATGTGTCACACTTTCCCCCTCCTATTTTACAACAGAAAATTCTAGAAAGGCACAACAAAAGAGCATTTTACCTGCAGATCCTCCAATCAGCAATACTTACCCTAATAGTTAACGTGAGTGTATACCATTTTTTTGCTGTAACTTCAACATGTCCTAAAGCATATATAATCCATCCAGCTGTAACATAAAAAGATTATCCTAATAGTTATATTTTTGAGATCTCAATCACAGAATCATATAACTAGTGGGATTCTCAAGTGGCACCTGTATGTAGTAAAGTCAGCCTTAATAGAGGTCTATGTCCCTTAATTCCCAGATCTACAACTGAGTTAAGCCAAAACATCTTTCATTTAGCCACGCATTTAATACCATACACTTAGAGTCTACTCTGAGCCATATACTATATGTGAACTCACCAAAGAACCAAATAAACTGAAAAGCCAGGACAGTATGAGGTGTTAGCATCTATAGTTTAAGTATACATTTATACATGACTGGATTGAATATGGAAGACAAAAGAGAACATAAAATTTCCAGCCAGTCTAATTGGTTGCAAGATAATAGTATTAACTTAGAGGGAGAAAATAGTAAGTTAATATTTTGAATTACTGTTATTTGAATGCCTATGAGAACCCCAGGATAAAGTATCAAGTAGGCAGTTTAAAACAGACAGTGGGGACTGCAGACACAGCTTTAAATTCCTAGTTCCAGTTCTACCACTAACTAGCTTTGAGCCATAGGCAAGTCAAATAACCACTCTGGCTCTCTGTATTCAATTTCAATATCAGTAAGGTAACTTAGACTGGTAATGCTATGAATATGTAACTCTTGTTCTAATATCCTTACTACCTTCTTCTTCTTTAATTTTTATTTTATTTATGGAATCAAGGCAAAAAGCAGCAAAATTTTTTAAAATTAAGGCAGGAGGAAAACCAAGAAACTGAGAGTCAAGAAAAGTCACCACACCACCAGTAAGGTCTAGTTTCAAACAAGTGGTATGTACCAAAACCAATCTGAAGTGAACACAGTTTAATCTGAACATATTGGAAGCACCTATTCTGGATAAAATATCATCCTACCTAACACAGGGTTGTAAGGATGACTGAGAAAAGTCAAGTTATTTTCAAGCATTAACTAAATTCAAAAATGAGATTTTTCCATTTTAAGCAGATCAATCCCTCTTCTTGTATTTCCATAAGTACAGCAGCAACATTCTTATACTCCTGTTTTTATTTATGGTGCCTCCTAAGCATTCTCTCCCTACCACCTCTACCTCAGAGGGTTCTGATGTTATCTATGCAAATCCTATCCTCACAGCCCAGCTCAACTCTACAATACCCTAAAAAGCTTTGTACAGTTATTTCCTCTTTCACAGAGCTGCCCCTTCTCTAGGAATTAAATAACTTTCTATAATTGTAAACTATTTGGTATTTGCTTATATCTCTTCCCAATTAGATGTCCAAGCACCTTGGGTTGAACTCTTTTATCACTCCCACAAATAACAAGTAGGTGCTCATAGTAACATAGCCCATGGTAAGTCATATGCTATTTAAAAAAAAAAAAAAAAAAAGTCACTTACCTAAATCACCTGTAACCCTATAAGATCCATTTGCAAAAATCCAGAAGAAAATTCCTCTGGCACTTCTAATCAAAACACCACCTTTATTTACTCTTCCTGCAATGAACACACCTCCCGTGTCAGGGGTCTCTATGTAAACATCACACTTGATAGTCAGATTGGTCCTGCAAAATAAAACGGTTGGTTAGTACTCTTACACTATACCCTTCCTAACATAGTACAGATATGTCATTTCACAGCATATGCTTCCAAACTTCTAACTAAGGTGAGAAGGTGATTTGCTGAGCCTGTGTCTGTAGCAGAGATGGGCTTCAAGAATCTTCATTGACAACAGTTGTAAATGTTACATGACTTAAGTCATTTCATTGTCTCTTTAAATGATTAGTGGACAATAATAGTTATGATATTTATGTTTCTTGAGAAAATATTAAAACTTTTCATCTTAATAATTCAATATTTTAAAAAGCCACTATTGTCTATGAACACATAAAAAGTAAAAGTTCCAAACAATTCTGAGAAAAAGTGTTTATTCAAATTTCCATCAACAAAGAAAGGCAATGAAGGCAATGCTAGGAGCCTCTGGGAGAACATAAGCTACTCTGGGGCCAATTTTCACATTTAAATATTACAAAACTTTAAAACTCCACAAGAAAAGATCTAAAATTATTTCTCGGCGAAGGCCAGAGTTGACTCTCTAGGAGGGCTTCTTAAACTCAGTTCACTGGCCCTACCCAACGGCGTGATTCAGTAGATCTGGTGCAGCCTCTTGAACTTGCATATCAAACAAATTCCTAGGTGATGTTGATGCTGCTTGTCCAGGAATGCCACTTTGAGAACCATTTTCCCATATGAAGTATCTGTCTATAAGGAAGCAATAAAATCCTGGTTCTAGGCTCGCTGATCCATGAGAGTCTATCAAAGATGGGAAAAGATTCAGCCATCCAGGGACTACCAGAGCTTTTACAGTGAGCTCTCCTCTACGTTTCTTCCTACAAATGCTACCAGGTAAAACACTTTCCTTCTGGGATGCTACAACCACCCCAAACCAACATGATCTCTGAAAATATTTCACTTCCTACTCAGTATCTAACTGCAAATGGAAAGAAACAGGAAAGCTTGCACACAACCAAGTCATAAATCAAGCAATATATCTCGTGTAAGACTGGAAACACCAATAAATCTATTCCAGAAATGGGTTGGGGGGAATGAGATCTAGAATTACGTGGCCTTTACATTCCTGTGTCTTTTCAGTGAATTTTGCACAGTCAAATTTTACTATATAAAGGAAAATATTACAAAAGTACACAGTGAGGACAATCCACACTTAATTATCTAAGCAGAGCTGGGCTACTTTACAGGAAGATCAAATGCTAAGTAATTCAACCCCAGTCTCTCCTGTCCTCTGACATCAGAGGAAGTTTTCTCTCCACAGATTATCACCAGCAAGAAACCACTAGCAATCAACACTGGAACTTACATTCCTTACCTCCTTTCTGGTTCATCACAAGTTTGAAAGTGCTATAAATATCATCAGCACCCTAAAATTATTCTATTTAGAGCTGGAATGAGAAAAGATCAAACTTTTTCCATTTTTATATACCACATACCACAATAAATGATTCTTGCCTCAGAACTTGCCAGGCAATTTTGTAGATAATGATGAAATAAAATAAAAGTGTGGTTTATTCTTCCATAGCCACAATCTCTCAGTAATGCTGAAAGAACAAAAACTAGCCAATATATAAGGCAACTTTGATCAAAGAGAGAGTTCAGCTGTGTGCAGGGAAAGGTAATTTTGTGATTGTCTTTAAAGAATTCCAATCAATGTACACTATCAAGATAGAAGTAGCCAGCTATAGTACAATCTACCTGTATAATCAAATGACTGTGCTGGTACATAACTAAATCTAGGTATAAGAGAGGAAGTTCTACTCAAAACACAACTCTAAAACCTGTGGGTAGTGTGCACACATTGAGAACAGATTTACTAAAATAGCACTACAGATAAAGATAAACAAATTTCCCATTTCCTACCTTTCAGAAAAAGATAATTGAAATGAGGCTGTGAGATGTATTCCAAAGAGAATGGGCTACTGAGTCATACAGACCCAGCTTCTAGCCCTGGTTCTGCCACTTATAAGTGGGATCTTGGGTAAATATTACCCCAGAGATGATGCAGTTTCCCAGTCTGCAAGGTGGGGGTGATGACGTCATAGTGGTTGCATGGGAAATCCATCAAAGTGCCTAATATTACCCAATTTTTATTCCCTCCTTTTCCCACAATAAGTGGGCACAGCAGCCAGACAACAGAAATGAATAAGGGATATGTGTGGACCTCTGAGCAGATCTGGCTGCCTCAAATAGAGGATGGAATACTGGAAAATAACGCATAGTAGATGAGACCAAATTATAAAGGGTCTTGGAAATCAGGCCTAGAAGTGGAAAACACAGGTAGCAGGAGAGAATCACTGCATCTGCCTGAGCAGAGGAATAACATGCTGAAAATAGGGCTTCAGAAAGATGAAAGCAGTCCTTTCTTGACACACTTAATTGCCACTTCCTGGTTCCTTTCCTTTCAGAATGTGTCACTCTTTCTCTTCCACACCGTTCCCCATCTCTCTTCCCCGCCTCCTTACCCACTGCAATAGATCCTAGTAAAAACTGAGGATAGCTATTAAAATTATGTAAAATCTTCAAATATATGAAGATATGGGGGAGTAAAACTTTGGATGGTGCTATATCTCATTCTATACTACAATTAAGGGGATTCTCAATCTTTTTGGAGTCTGAGCCAGAAATAGGAGAGTTTGAGTTTACAAAGAACCCTCTATAATATTCATGGGCATGGGATATAGGGGTTGCCACAGAAAAGTTAAAAGTTTCCTACGGTAACTTCAAAACTGGAGATCAAAACAATGGGGCCCATGCCTTGTACACTTAAACCCAGACACTGGACTTACAATAAGACCATCAGTCACAAATGAAGATGTCACGAACTCCACTACCATAATTAGAAAATCTAGGTCAAGTTTCCACCTCAGAGACAATGGGACAAGCAGAAATTCTGCTGTGTAAAAACACAAGCCATGAATGTCATCCTTAATTAGGAAAGAATTCTTCACTAAACCTCAATAACTCTTCATAGTGCTATAAGGGTTCCAGGGACTCTAGATCACTAAAAAATTCTTGAGACTTATGTCAGAGCTTGGGACTAGAATCAAGATTTCTAACTGGGAGAAAGGCACTTCAGGAGGCATAAAGACTCTTTTCAGAATTCCTTTCTCTTCCCTCTCTAGTTTCCAAGCTTTGGAAACTGGATATGGCTGTTTAGTAGCTTGGTATTATTAGTACTAGCCCTAAACCTGAATGTTTGTATTTTTTTTCCACAGTGGAATCATGCTAGTTGCAGGAAAAAATGAAAAGAAATACGTAAGACAGGTATAACAAGTCAGCACATAGAAATTCGGTAACTGAACTAAAGGGGAAGGGAAAGTTTTAGTTTGGCATTATATTTTACGCGAATAATATAACTTGTTTCTTTTGCCTCAGAGCTGGGCTCTGAGGCAGATGTCTAAATAAAAAGTTACATTCACTAGTCAACTAAAGCTAATTTGCTTTTTACTATTGCCATCTACTGTGACCTGGTAAATAGATTTTTTAATAAGGCTAAGACAGTGTGATTCTATAATTGTTCCACTAGATGGCAACACCAGATCAACAAATCAACTCCAGCAAAGCGAAAACACCTCAAAAATCAGTTTATAAATATTAAATTATAATTGGGTCCAAAACTCCTCAGTTTTTATACTGAAATAAAATTTCTCCTGTAATAATCACTATTATATTGGGCAAATATGAGTGAAGGACACTGAGGCAGCAAAATAATTTGCAGCTTTGTGGTCATCATAATATTCAACAACTCTAAATGTTTTATTACATATTACATATCAATTAGGTTCTTAGACAAGGAGGACTATTGAAAACTCTTCACTTCAAAATGTACCTGACAACATTACAAGGGCATTTCAGCCAGATCCACATAGAGAACATCAATCTTACATACCAGTCGTAGTCTCCTATAATAGTGATTGTGTTGGATGCATCAGCAGCCCACGTAATGGGTCTCTGGTTGAGAACTTGGCGTAGTGTGAAGCGATGCTCTCCAGGGTCTTCAGTATTTGTAAAATATTCAAATACACCAGTTTGATCAGCAAAGTTTGGAGCTTCACTAAAAAATGGGTAATCTGTTCAGAACACAAGAAATTGTTTAGTAACAAATCCTTCAGAAGCTCTCCTTGCTGATATTTTACAGTATATCTGAAACACTTCTGAAAGTTTTGAAATAAATAAATAAAAGTTAAGCCAAAGTTTAGGGCCCAGACTAATAAAAGATATATTAATTTTTGTATCATCATTACTAAATATCAGGATAATGGATTTGATATATAAATTATGCATAATATTTAATACAGACATTTGGTGTAGAGGAAAGGTCATGAGTTTTTAAGTAAGTAAAACCTAGGTTCAAATTCAAGCTCAGTCTGTCACCCTGGACAAGTAATTTAATTGCCCTGCATCTAAAGTCTCTTCACTTCTAGGTTTGCAAGAGGACAAAAGAATTAAAGAAAAGATAACATGTACATAAGCCAGCATCTGGCAAGGGCTCAATAAGCTTTATTATTTCTAATATCTGTCAAGCAAGGTTCCAAATCATGGGTCACAATCATCTGCCAAAAGAGCATGAGAAAGGTTTACTATATCAAGCTTAAAACTTCTACATTTTCTTCTACGTCTAAACTGAAGCAAAATCAGCTTTGGACCTAAGTTATCAATCCCTTTTTAGTTTTACGAGTCTACAATAATGAATGCTGTAGAGAAGAAATTTTAGTGGTAATATCTTACAGCTATTTCCATCTCATGTTTTTCCATGTTTTTGCATTCACTGCCCCATTTGAGACATTTAGAACCCTATCAAGTTATCTCCGGAGCCTGGCATAGAATATTTAACTTTAGTTTTAAATTTATATCATAGCTCATAAACTATTATATTTTAGATTAGAAGGTTTAGAATTGTCTCTTGGTCTTCAGAGTCACAGAATATTGTTCTTGGTGCTGGCAGAAGTTCTTCAATCTCATTAACTAGGCCATAGCCCACACAGATTCCTCACTTACTGAAGGCAAAGTCACCTGAGCAACAGATTGCAAAGACCCTGCGTTTCACAAATTAATGGATTTATCTAAGAGAGATACTTCAAAGAGTTGCAGAAAAACAAATCACCAAGCTAAGGATCACTGTTGTCTGTATTATAGCTGAGACGACTCCGCTACATAGTTCAAAAAGCCAACACTCCAGCCAACTAGATCATTTCCTGAGAAAGGGAGCTGAGACCCTGCAGCAGTTACTGGGAAGGGGTGACAGGAGTGTCCATCTTTGGTGGAACAAGCAGCTCTGCAGCCGATAGGAGGTTTAAGAGATGCTCCAGCAATGACAGTTCCCTCCCTATTACTCTCCTGCTGCTACAGACTTTAGGAACAGATTACAAAGCCACCTGACCCTGCCTGTGAGGCCCATAAACCTATAGAACACCATCGACTAGTCAACAAATTTTGTTACTTACTGACTAGGAATATAACTACAATGACGTCTTCTAACTTTTTTCCAAGTGGTTTTCCTCAATCATGTATAACCAAAGCTCTTCTAGCAACTTTAGGACAGATCTTCCTAGAAGACCTCAATAAAAATCTCTGAGGCACAAGATGGTATCTAATAAGTTGGATCACCCAAGGACTACATAACTGCCCATAAGCACTCAGTTCACTAGCACTGCAGAAAGATATGAATGTGTCTTAACCTCCACACAGAAGGAAGATGTCAGTAATGGCTAATGGGTTAGTAGCAAAGTTACAAAGTTTAAGTTTCATCAAAAAAAAATCAGAATTATAATTTTCATTCTAACAATGAACTCTATATTTTTTCTGAAACTGAAAAATACAGGGTCCTCAAATTTAGATTTACCACAAAGCAATACAGAAAATTAGGCCTCCTTTTACCACACATGAGATTTAGGAGCTAAATGTGCTTTTGACAGCTGCTCCATCATTTACCCAGTTTGACAGGTAGAAATCAACCCACCACTGTTAAATATCAGGACCAAATTAAGTTTTAGTGAAAAACACTTACCAACATCGAAATCATCCTTATAGGTACTTGGGAAGGGCTGGGATTTTGGAGGCAGTGGGTAGCTGCCTTTGCGACCAGTGGTGAGAGTGGTGAGTGTGAACAGCTCATCTTCTTGCAGTTCCAGTGTGAAATTGCCAATGCTGTCGAGGAGCTGAAAAAGAAGACACTATTGTATTCAAGACCAGGTGCTACAGCTCATCTCATGTGGACAAAATTGCTTTTTAAAAAAACTAGCTTAAAGGAAAGTCCTAATCATTTCTGTGAGAACTTCCTAAACACTTGTGAAAACCTCACCAATACCAAGGCTCTTGGAATCATTTTTTCCTAAGTATTTGAGGAAACTTTGTAAAATTATGCTTTATAATTTTAAAGAACTTTAATTCATAGAAGGAAGGACTAAATAATCTCAAAATATATTTCTATTAGCCTATTCTTTTCCATTACACAGTAAGCTCTTTAAAGCTTGAATATTTTCAATATATACAAATAAGAGACCTGCTTTTTTCTCTCTCAGAATGTTACTAATGTAGAAAAATCCATAAAATATCACTGTTAACCCAGCTGTTAATCACAGAAATCCTTTCATAATTAAGAGAGAAAATCCCTCTCATTTTATGTTCAAAATATGTTTCAACTAGCAAGTTAGGCTTGGCAACTTAATCGCTTTAAGCCACAATCTCATCTACAAAATGAGGGGAAAAATACATACCTCATAGACCTGCTGTGAGGAGATTAAACCAGATAATGCTTTTAAAGTGCTAAGTTCAGTGTGTGACCAATGGGAAGCGCTCCCAGTATCAAAGCTGTTCTATGCTTTAGCATTTATGCAGACCTCTGAAGACATCGGAACCCCTTGCATAATCAATGAAGGCATTAAATCTATGTCCATTTTATGAAATTTGAACAGTTTTTTCTACTTTGAATTAAAGGAGTTATGTTCCTTGTTTTAATGGTGAATTGATGATCAGATCTATGAAATACCTGATGTTATATTCAGGTTGAGAAACAGCCACAAATGACATTATCTTTCTTATGGGGAAAATCAATATTATTATGCTATTCCTAGCAATGTGTTATACAAAAAGTAGAAACTTCTTTTTTCAGAACTTAATATAAAATAAGGTGTTTTATCACTGTTAGTGAGGAGCTGATTATCAGAACATTAAATAATAACAAGAAAAATTCTTTATTTGTGTCAATTAAGTGAAATAATGTGCTTGCTTGGGCCAATTCATTCTTTGAAAGCTTTCCTGAGAAACCACCATGGCTGATGCACTGTGGGAAACACCTGGGATATAAAGCTAAATAAAGCAAGGCCCAGTCTTCAAGGTGTCCAGTGGAGCAGGAAAAGTGTTTAACTTGGTAAGCACACAGCTGAAGATGAGTATGAGCTAAGTCTGGTGAGGAAGCTTCAGAGGAAGAGACACTTGAACTGAGTCTCAAAAGATGACAAAGATGAGGAGGAGCCATTCTAGGCAAAGAAAACAGATGCAAAGTCACAGAGGTAAATAAACATGCATGCTATGCTTTGAAAAATATAAGTTTAGTCCGTGAAGAGAGGCCAGTTTAGTAGGACACACATCTAGGAAGAAGACCAGCCTTCTACCTCCTGAGAGGATAATGAGATTCATGCACTACACTAAGGAATGTGAACTTCTAAGAACATAATCACTGAGGTACTCTGAACACAGTGGTCACAAAAATCAGATCTGCATTTTCAACATATCACTCTGCAGCCGTGTGGTGGGTGACCTGAAAAGTCGGACTGGAAAAACAAGAGACAGTTTCTGAAATCCAGGAGAGAGATAAAGAAGAATTGAAACAGCCGGGTAATCCCAGCACTTTGGGAGGCCAAGGCTGGGAATCACAAGGTCAGGAGATCACGACTAGCCTGGCCAACATGGTGAAATCCTGTCTCTACTAAAAATACAAAAATTAGCCAGGTGTAGTGGTGTGCACCTGTAGTCCAAGCTACTCAGGAGGCTGAGGCAGGAGAATCACTTGAACCCGGGAGGTGGAGGTTGCAGTGAGCTGAGATCTCAGAGCAAGACTCTGTCTCAAAAAGAAAAAAAAAGGAAGAAGGAGGAGGAGGAGGAGGAGAACTGAAACAAAAAGTAACAGTGGTAATGGAGAATAAGGAGTAAGAGAAATTTCTGGGCACAATCATCTATACTTGACCACTGGTAGGATACAGAGGGTGAGTGGGAAACACAGATAGTCTCAAATGAGACTTAAATTTCTGACCTGGGCAGCCAGGTGGTAGTGTCACCATCCATCAAAACAAACTAAATGTCTACGAAACTAAATGTCTAAGAGCTGAACACATCTATAAACACATAGACTTCTATGCTGCCTTGAAGAGAATTTCTATTAAAAAAAAACCAGTTGGGAACAACTTTTCTATGTTGCAGCTACAAAATCAATTATAAAATATAAAAACAAAAATTCTTAATGAAATTTGTTCCCTTACTGTTTTACTATTGGAATACCCAAAATATAAGAATGTATTTTAAAATTACCCATAGAGAATCCAGCTGCTTAAAAAGGAATCTTTCAGATGATTTTCCAAGTTTGGTATACCACACCTGTAGCTCTGGTATTTTACTCTGTAAAGAAAAGACAAAAAAGCATGGCTGAGTAACTCTTCACAATCTCTTTGAGGATTTCCAAAATCAGTACCAGCAAGAATGTACCAATGACAGTATGTACTCTATCTTATTTACCAAAAGAACCACCTCAAATACTAAATAGTTATATTTTTAAAAATACGAAAACACTGTTCTAGCAAATACTTTATTCTCTAAACACTAAAAAATTTTGGCAGATGATGAAAAAATCATAGTATCTTTGCTTCAAAAATATTCATTACTGTACCTGTGAAAAAATTTTTTAATTAATTTTCTGGAATTAAAAAACAATTCTTATGCCATTAGTAATCAGAAGCTGCTGCTTCTCAATCCAAACCTAACAATTCACAGAAATAGCAAGCATCTGGTCCTTTAAAAACAATATTTTTTTGTATAGAATACTGTAAATATCAATGCTTGAAAGTTCCCTAGACCATATAATGCATCTACCACCAAGAACAACTTTCTTGCAAGTGACTTTGAAGGTGTTCCTCAGGTTACAAAGTGTTTTACCTCCTGCTGGCTTCTGTCTTGTTAGAATAAAGCAAGTCAGAAGACAGAAGACACCAGGACCTTTGTCAATTCATATGCAAACCTTTAATAATTCATAATATAAGGCTTCACTTAAAAACTATTGGCCTGTGATAGAATATATAAATTCTTAAATCAAAACCAAAATAAAGTTATACACATTTACTTACAAAAGATCCCTTGAGAATAAAGGTAGCAAATTGTTGTGACACATTGAAATAAGGAAGAAATGGCCGTATACACTTAGAATGTTTATGACTCTGAAAAAAAAATCACGTACATTATACAAATGATGTATAAGCTATCTTTGGGGAAAAAGAGTTCAATAGTTAATGCCCAAGATTAACAGAAATGACATATACTAGGTAATAAACATGAGTTTATTTCACATTTTTAAAGACTTTTTTATAATATAATCTTTACTGAATATGTGTTGTATGTTCCTAGTCAAATGCAAAGTTCAATGGCACTTCAACTTAATCAAACTTTGAATTCATAGCTAAACTGTAGAGACATACATGGCACTCAGATTAATTTTGTGTTATAACTGTTTTCCAACTAAAATACATCAAATAAAAAGCAAAAGGAAAGATGTTTTCACTGAAAAGACACCTCATCTAAATATAACATTCGTTCTCATGTAAGAAGTAAAATGTGTGTGTATGTGTGTGTGTGTGTGTGTATCTACAGTATATATGGATGTCAAATACATACTAAGGTCAGCTAAATATTTGTAACAAATAGTTCTCACATTGCCATCACTTTTTACTAAATACTCACTTCTATGGGCTGGGATCAAAAGAAGTATGAAACCTAATTCCCACTTTAAAAGATTCCACAGTCACAGAATACTTTTCTGTTTCAGGCTTTGCCAACAATTAAAAAATTACTTTCGTAATCACAGATTTCAATATCTGTCTCTTAGTAATTGATAGTACAACTAGACAGACAATCAACAAGATGTAAGAGATTTGAACACTACTGAGGGAATGTGTTCTCTTTCTAGATCCACAAGGGGGCATAGTTTTAAGGGCAAAAACTTTCCAGTGCCATGCCCCCTCCCATCTCTCTCCATCCAGGAGCTCTAACCATTTCTGCTGAGGGCGTGGGAAAAGGTCACAAGTCAATCACTCCAGAAGTTCAAGGGAACTCTTTTCATTGGTGAGGGTAGGGGTCTTGGAGAGGGAGGGAATTCCTCCCAGATTAAAAGTCCCTGTCTCCCTCATCCGGGAGGATTTTCCCCTTCTGGAGTCCCCTTCCACTCTTGTGGAAGTTGCTTTTCCTCTCCTAAACTCCATTTCTCTCTCAATTCCCTTCCACTCAGTGTGGAAGCTGTCTTTACTCTCCTAGATTCCATCTTTCTGGATTCTCTCACTCAGTGTGAGAGGAGCTTTCCTTCTCTGGTTTTCCCCCCGGGATCCTTCCTCACTCACTATGAAAGTGGCTTTTCTTTCTCTCTCTGCCTAAATAATCACTTTCTGCAAACACTTTTTGAGTCTGGTATTTACTAGAGTACTGAGCCATGGTCTCCTCTCCCATTCTTGGGTTAGTGACAGACCAAGAACCTGGAGAAACGTCCTCTCAGGGGAGCTGAGGGCTCCCCTGAACCCAAAAACCACCAAATAACGTGCCTTGACATCTATAAATGACTCCATCTAGCAACAGCAGGATGCACATTCTTTTCAAGTGTACATGGAACATGGACGAAACTACACCATACTCTGATTCATAAAGCAAGTCCTCATAAATACAAAAAGATTCAAGTCATACAAAATATTTTTTTAACCACAGTAAAATTAAATCAGGAGTGAATAACTGAAAACCTTCTGGAAAAATGCAAAATATTTACAAACTAAATAACAAATTTCTAAATGATCAATAGGTCAAAAGAAAATCAAAAAGGAAATTAGAATTTTCAGCTTTATGAAAATGAAAACACAATGTATCAGAATTTGTGGTATGCCACTAAAACAATACTTAGAAGGAATTTAGAGCACTAAACACCTAGATTAGAAACAAAGAAGGGATCTGAGAGTTCAGCTTCTGTCTTGAGATACTAGAAAAATAGTAGCAAATTTAAAAATATTACAAATTTGGTTCAGTGTACACTGCTCAGGTGATGAGTGCATCAAAATCTCACAAATCACCACTAAAAAAATTGCTCATGTAACCAAATACCACTTGTTCCCCAAAACGCTATGGAAATAACATTTTTTAAAGTAAAAAATAAAGACCAAAATAAGCAAAGAAAATAAAGAGAAAAGAAGAATCAATTAAACAAAAGCAAATTTACAAACCACAAGAAAATAATAAAACCAAAAGCTGATTCTTTGAGAAGATCAATAAAATTGAAAAACCTCTAGCCAGACTAATCAAAAATCAGGATACAAAGAAAGAAAACATACATTTCAACAATAAGAAAGGTGATACCACTAGAGATCAAATATTTTCCCAGGGGGAGAGACAAGGCATGAAATCGCTTAGAAACTGTTTTTAAAGGAATTGATATTTGACACAAAGCACAGGGAGGTTCAAGACTAATGTAGTTCTCAAAAATAATGGAAGTTTTGGTGAAAAGCAAGTAAGAGACCAGTACATTCATTATAGGCATAAGTGAAACCACAGCCCAGCCTAGTATACCATTGAGAATAAAAAAAAGTAAGTGACAGTTAAAAAACAAAAAAAAAAAACACCTCCTGTGGTCAAAAGAAAACTAAAACACTAACCTCAAACCATCGCTGAAAATGAGCTGGAATTTAATTGTATTAGTCTTTGGAACAATTTAAGTCCCCAGGGCATTGTTTAAAACAATACAGAAATCCACCAGCAATTTGTGTAACCTATAGTGAGGTGTGATCAAGGAACCAGACAGAGTCCTGGAAAAACCGATGTCATCCCACAGTGACTGTGGATATGCCCAAAGCCACATTCTCCAAGGAGCAACATTTCAGGCTTTACAGTGTGTGTGTGTGAAGATGAGAACAGACTTCACTAAAATACTCCAGCAAATCACTAAATAAATAAACAAGTCTCAAGGGAGAGAGAATCAATGCCCTGAGTTGCTAGCATATATTACATGTGAGTTGCTACCATATATTATATTGAAGGTCTGGTTTCCAAAAATGCACAAAAAAATGAGACATTCAAAGAAAAAGAAGTGTGCCCCAAACACAGGGGGAAAAAGTAGGCAAGAGAAACTACCACTGAGAGAAAAGAGATGTCAGATTTAACAAAGACTTCAAAGTAGACAATATAAGTGCCCATCAATAGTGAACCAAATAAAGAAAATGTGAGATAGATAGATATCATGCAACACTACACTGCAATAAAAAAGAATGAAATCAAATCAATTAACATTATCCATCATATAGGCAGAACCAAAGACAAAACCACACAATTATCTCAATAGATGCAGAAAAGGCCTTTTAATAAAATTCAAAATCCCTTCATGTTAAAAACCCTCAATAAACTACATATTGACGGAACATATCTCAAAATAAGAAGAGCTATTTATGACAAACCCACAGCCAATGTCAGATTGAATGAGAAAAAGCTGGAAGCATTCCCTTTGAAAACTGGTACGAGACAATGATGCCCTCTGTCACCACTCCTATTCAACATAGTACTGGGAGTTCTGGCCGGCCAGGGCAATCAGGCAAGAGAAAGAAATAAAGGCATTCAAATAGGAAGAGAAGAAGTCAAACTATCTGTTTGCAGATGACATGGTTGAATATCTAGAAAACTCTGTAGTCTCAGCCCAAAAACACCTTAAGCTGATAAGCAACTTCAACAAAGTCTCAGGATACAAAATCAATGTACAAAAATCACAAGCATTCCTCTATACCAACAACAGACAGAGAGCCAAATCATGAATGAACTCCCATTCACAATTGCTATGAAGAGAATAAAAGACCTAAGAATACAGCTAACAAAGGATGCAAAGGACCTCTTCAAGGGGAACTACAAACCACTGCTCAAGGAAATAAGCAAGGACACAAAGAAATGGAAAAAACAATTTTTCCAAAGAAGAATTAATATCATAAAAATGGCCATACCGACCACAGTAATTTATAGATTAAATGTTATTCCCATCAAACTATCATTGGCATTCTTCACCAAATTAGAAAAAGTACTTTAAATTTCATCTGGAATCAAAGAAGACCCTGTACAGCCAAGATAATCCTACGCCAAAAGAACAAAGCTAGAGGCATCATGCTACCTGACTTCAAACTATACTACAAGGCTACAGTAACCAAAACAGCATAGTACTGGTTCAGATAGATGAATGGAACAAAGCAGAGACCTCAGAAATAACATCATACATCCATAATCATCTGATCTTTTACAAACCTGACAAAAACAAGCAATGGGGAAAAGATACCCTATTCAATAATGGTGCTGGGAAAACTGGCTAGCCATATGCAGAAAACTGAAACTGGAACCCCTCCTTATACCTTATACAAAAATTATCTTAAGGTAGATTAAAGACTTACATGTACGGCCAGGCACGGTGGCTCAAGCCTGTAATCCCAGCACTTTGGGAGGCCAAGGCGGGTGGATCACGAGGTCAAGAGATCGAGACCATTCTGGTCAACATGATGAAACCCCGTTTCTACTAAAAATACAAAAAATTAGCTGGGCATGGTGGCGCGTGCCTGTAATCCCAGCTACTCCGGAGGCTGAGGCAGGAGAATTGCCTGAACCCAGGAGGCGGAGGTTGCAGTGAGCCGAGATCGCGCCATTGCACTCCAGCCTGGGTGAAAAGAGTGAAACTCCGTCTCAAAAAAAAAAAAAAAAAAAGACTTACATGTAAAACCCAAAACTATAAAAACACTAGAAGAAAGCCTAGGCAATACCATTCAGGACATAGGTATGAGAAAATACTTCATGATAAAAACAAAAAGCAATTGCAACAAAAGTCGAAATTGACAAATGGAATCTTATTAAACTAAGGAGCTTCTATACAGCAAAAGAAACTATCATCACAGTGAACAGGCAAGCTACAGAATGGAAGAACATTTTTGTAATCTACCCACCTGACAAAGGTCTAATGTCCAGAATTTACAAGGAACTAAATTTAGAAGAAAAAAAAAAACAAACAACCTCATCAAAAAGTGGGCAAAGGATATGAACAGACAGTTCTCCAAAGAAGACATTTATAGAGCCAACAAACATATGAAAAAATGCTCAACATCACTTATCATTAGAGAAATGCAAATCCAAACCACAATGAGATATCATCTCATGCCAGTCAGAATGG